GCAGCCCGCCCGCAGTCAGCAAGCCACCAGCTCCTAGCCAACCGCCAGCCCACCGCCGGCCCGGCCGCCAGTTAGTCGCCGATAGTTCCTGCCGCTCTCACCGCCGCTACGATCATAGCCGCCACTGCCACTGCCCGCCGGTCGACGAGTAGGCACACGTCAAGTCACAGGAGATGGGATGCTGTCGTTGTATGCTACTCGTCCTCGTCCTCCGCCGCCCTCGGTCGCCTACTCCTTCCATTCCTCTTCCCCAACCTAGCCTCCTTCCCCACGGTCACAGATCTTGTCGAAGACCTCTGCGACCTCGAGGTACGCTACTGTGCTACCTGCCCTGAGGACCACCTCCCACTCACCCTTCGCCCACCATCATCACCCTTTACTTCCTTACCACCTGCCTCCCTGGCCGCCTTGCTCCTGCGTGTGACGCTCTCCCTTCACGGCCCCCCACTGCCCTCACCATGGATGACTTCTCCACCTCCCTGACAGCGGTCGAGACCCGTCTCTGCACCATCTCCGGGTCCACTAGCGCAGTGGTGGCCCTTTTGTTTGAGGGCTGCTCTCTGTCCCAGGTCCTTGTCTCTAGTGCCTGTGCCTCTGTCACTGATACAGCTTTGGCAGACACTGCGCCTTACCGCTCTGTCAAGCGCTCACAGTGCCGTGGTGGTTGTGGGGTGTCAGCAGGCGGTCAGGGCACTGGTGGGGCATCGGGAGCTAGCGGGGGAGTCGGTGCAAAGGAGGAGGGGGACAGCAGCAGCCGTTGTGGGGTCGTGGGATTTCTAGGCGTGGTGCGGGCCCTGGTGGTTGGCCCCGCTGTAGTCACTGCCCTGGGGCTTGCGTGGCTCCTCCAGATGCTCGGGTGGCATCGGGCCTGAGGGTTACGTGCGCTGTGTATACCAAATGCAGACCGGCCCTCTGCGTGGCCACACCTACGGGCGCGTGTGTCACACCGCCACGCGCTGCTTTTGCCGCTTGGATGATCTGTTCCATGGTCACTTTGAGCCCATGGCGTCCCTTTCCAGAGTGGCCTGCCCTTTTCCGTCGCGGCCTCCCGGTGTTTGAGTTAGAGATGGCTCAGATAGGCTCTGCCATGTATTCTTCGTACTCTGAGAATTATAGTATGCATGACTCTTATTATCCTGCTGTATGTATTCTAAGATCCTCTGCTGTGTGTAGTCTAGGCTTCTCGTCAGCCCCTACTGAGGGAGCCCTTTCTTTTGCTCTAGACTATGGCATGTCACTCTGCTTCTTCCGATACTGCACTGCACTCACACCGCTTCGTGCACCGGCACCGGTCTCCCTCGCTGACTCGCGAGCCGCATCCATCGCTTGTAGCACCATGACTCTTTGCTGTATGGCTAACCCGTCCTGCTCTCTTACCGGCTTGCATATCCCCACATTCTCCAAGAACCTGGTTGGTGTCGGTCATATCCAGGTCATTGGTGTCACCACCACGTTCCCTGGTCATGAGAGATATGCAAATTGTACGAACACCACCACGAGCGCACGTCTTGCCACCTTTGAATACGAACCTGCGTCCGGTCTCTTCACACTGCACACAGAGTCCCCCCAGGTAGCTTTGTCCTCCCAGATTGCCACGTCCTGCTCATCTTGCTCCCTCACCCACTCGGAATTCCTGACACTTTACCTTCTGCATCTCCTCCATTGTCTCCTGACCCTATGCCTCCGTCCCACTTCTGGTCTCGCCGTCCCTCTCGTACCTGTCCTGTCTCTCCTATTCGTTACTCTCACCCTATGTTGCTCCGTTCCCACGCGTCTTGTCCTCCCCTCCTCCCGTCGCCTCCTCCCTCCTTGCTTGTTGTCGCTCCGCCTCTCTATCTGACTTCCTTTGTGCCACTAGTCCTCTCGTTCCTCGGGTCCTTGCCTCCCTCGTTACCGACCCGCCTGTTCCTGTCTCCAGTCTTGACGCTCTTGTCGCTGCTGTCACTGACTTTGCCTCTACCCACCACTTTGACTACGCCACTGCTCTGGTCTCTGACCCTGTCTGTCCTCCGTCCATTTGGGGTGCGTCTGCCCTTGGCAGTAACGTCCTAGAGGATAGGCAGTTCGAGCTTGCTTCCCTGTCCGAGGCTGCTCCCCATCTCTGTTCCATGCTGCTAGTCCCTGAGGGTGACCCTGATGCCTTTGACATCCCGACCCCTCGCACTTACGCTGAGGCGACCTCAGGACCCTGGGCCTCTCAGTGGATAGCTGCCATGGAGTAGGAGATGACATCTTGGAAATCCACCGGCACCTACGTCGACGCAGTTCCCCCACCTGGGGTGAACGTAGTTGATGGTCGATGCCTCTTCAAGGTGAAGCGCCCCCCTAGAGAGCCGCCTATCTTCAAGGCGTGCTACGTGGCTAGAGGCTTCAGTCAGCATAAGGGGGTGGACTTCTTTCACACCTTCGCCCCGACCCCGAAGATGACTACTCTTTGGCGCTGCTACATATAGCAACAAAGCGTGACTACGAGTTACACTCCCTCGAATTTTGCACTGCGTTTCTTCAAGGCAGCCTACACAAGCAGGTCTACTAGTGCCGTCCTTAAGGCTTTACTGGTACCTTCCCTCCTGGGACCCAGTGGCTCTTTCGGCACCCAGTCTACGGCCTGCGACAGGCGCCCCGTGAGTGGCACGACACGCTGCATGCTACGCTAGTTGACCTGCAGTTTTTTCCATCCTCTGTAGACCCCTCGCTCTTCGTTCGTGCTGGCCAGACTCCGTTCTACATCCTCCTCTACGTAGACGACCTGGTCTTCGCTATTGCAGATAGGGACAAGCTGGCCTCCGTGAGGGCCGAGCTGCTGAGGAGACACACCTGCACTAACCTTTACTTGGTGCGCCAGGTCCTTCAGAGGTTCGATCTTCAGTTCTCCTCTGAACAACCCACACCTCTGCCAGTAGATCACAGGCTCTCAGCTCTTGTTCTTGAGGAGTCAGTAGAGCCCAGTGGTCCTTACACAGAGCTGGTGGGTTAACTCATGTACCTGATGACTTGCACTCGTCCAGATCTCGCATACCCTCTCAGCATCCTGGCTCGCTTTGTGGCTACAGGCAGACACCGACCACAGCACTGGTCGGCCGATATGAGGGTTTTGCGTTATCTAGCAAGTACATCGGGCATGGGGTTCGTGCTGGGAGGACGCAGACCAGTGGTCCTTACTGGGCACACAGACGCTTCTTGGGCAGACGACGCTGAGACCCTCAGGTCCTCCCAGGGCTACTGCTTGAGCCTTGGCTCAGGTGCCATCTCGTGGAGGTCCACTGGCTCCTCGTCTATTGCCCAGTCTAGGTGTGAGGCTGAGATCTACACCGGTGACATGGCGGCATAGGAGCTCTGCTGGCTAACGTTCTTGCTCACCGACTTAAGTTAGCGGCCTAGTTCTACCCTGGTCCTGTACGCTAACAACAGGGCCATGATCCTCCTGTGTAAGGAGCCTCGACTTGAGGGCAGAGCGAAGCACATCCAGCTGCGGTACTTCCTCTTGCGCGAGCTACAACAGCGTCGCCAGGCCCGCGTAGTACACTTGGCCTGCGGTGCCAACACAGCTGACATCTTTACTAAGGCACTTGCGCCTAAGGATCATCAGCGGCACTTTTTGCAGCTTGGTCTAGTTCCTGTAGACTCTCACTTGCTAGGATCTTGATTGTGTACTCCTCTTTATATATATATTTTAGATTGGCCTTGTGGCATTTCTTCCTGTGGCTGGACTAGTAGTGCCGGCCTGGTTTGCTCCTGTCTTGTTTGTACTCTTGCTGACTGGTCTTCGGACTCGTGTCTCAGAGGTTGGACTAGTAGTGCCACCCTGAGCTATGTGCTTCTTGCTCAGCACTACCCCTTATCTAGCCTAAAGGGTGTGTCAACTTATACATACATTTGCATATAAAATTTATAGGCTAGAGTAGGTGTGTGTTCTTAGAAAGTATAAACCAAACCCTATGTCTCCTTGTTCCCCTTCCTTCTAATCATTCAGTTATTCTAACAGAGGATCGCAGGCTATGCCGGTGTCTGTGTAACCTGTGCATGTGCAGCGTTTCCAAACACCTTAAATGAAGGGCGGAGTGGGGTGGTGGAGCGAGGGGAGGACGAGGAGGGGGGTGGAGGGAGGGGGGGAGAAGGAAAAGGGTGATGGAGGGGCGGAGGAGGAGGGGATACCAGCGGTGGAAGCACACATGTGCGCGGTGTCTGTGTAACGTGTGTACACTGTCTTCTCTTTGACAAGAGGGACACTCATAAAATACTATGTAGGGTGGCGTAAGGGGGTAAGGTTGAGTCAGGTAGAGGAGCATAAAGTCAAACAAGGTTGGCCTTGTTGAGGAATTGCCAGCTGTGCAGGTTTGTCTACAGGTTTACCACTGCCGGTATGATGCCATGAACAGTGGTGCCAATTCACTTGCGAAACTAATAGTCAGCACCTTTGGAGCTGTAATTATTTCAGCCTCGTATTTGAAGGTTCTCGAGCCCTTGTTGGAAAAGAGGTTTGATTTGCCGTTTTCTACTTTTTGTGTGAAAGCTAGTGTATCGCTTGAGATTTTTAAAAGCCGTTGTGCAAAACGAAGGTGGGAACAACCATCGCGCGCCGCTTTGAATCTCGCGCATCAGCGAGTGAGAGCATATAGGGGGAAGGCTGACTAATATCACAGGTCACGCTTCCCCACTTGCTCCTCGTAGGCCCCAGAAACCGAAGCGCCTCTCCATCCAAAATGCTACACCCCCGCGAAAGCTATCCCAAGCCATTCATTGCCATTCATCATCCCACATTGATTTCTCAAGCTCAGCAGTAGTAGACAGGAAGGAAAGCAGCACACTGCATGTCCACCGCACGTCTTCCGTGCGCAAAGCTGAGAGGCGGCAACGAGTGGAGGTGCCACTGCACTCTATCTAGCTCCACACATTTACAGGTGAAAGAAAAGCAGCAGTGCCGACGGCTGTCTTGGAAAAAAGGTGGCTATCTAAACCCCCCTTCTTCCCTACTGATGAGAAAGGCTCTTTTTTCATATTTATTGCACAATTTGGCTCCCGGCCATCAATAAAATTGAAGGCATACATGAATGCGCCACAAATCAATCCAGACTACCTAACAGAAAGCGCTGCAGTCAACTCCTAATACAACACTGCTATTAACATCATGGCATCTTAGCTAACATGCAAGTATCTTACGCCTGCTCCTGCTGTTGTTGCTCATGCTCCTACCCCGAGCCCGAGCCTAGCTCGAGCCTTGCCCGAGCCTAGTAGTCTGCTCCTGCTCCTGCTACTGCTGTTCATGGTCCCACTCCTCTGAGCCAGGTGTTAACCTCAGTGAAGGTGTTGGCATCGTAGCCGCTGACGTCAGTGATGATTCCCGGATCCACCCAGCTGGCGCGCGAGGAAGCAGCACCTGGACCCTTGCTGCCCGCCTCAGCGAGGAACATGCAGCTGCCCTCGTTCCACGACAACCAGCCGTCCTTCTCAACCATCTGGAAATGACGGAATGGAGACGGGACAGACGAAATGGAGACGGGACAGATGGAATGGAGACGGGACAGACGGAATGGGGTTAGAGAGAAGAGGCGAAGGGGAGAGAGAGAGGAACATGCAGCTGCCCTCGTTCCACGACAACCAGCCGTCCTTCCCGACCATCTGAGAAAGAGGAAGAGGAACGAGAGAATGCGGAGAGGGAAGGGGTGTGAGAGGAACACGCGAAACATCGATGAAGTGAAGCTGGTATGAGGATAGAAGGGGGCGAGATCCCCGGATCCACCCAGCCTGGGTGCGCGAGCTAGCTGAGCTAGCGCGCGACGAGGCAGCGCCAGAACCAATGCCGCCCGCCTCAGCGAGGGGGGGCGGGGGGAGGGAGTGTCTCTTACCGCTGGGAGGTTGGTGTTGATAAAAACGGTGAAGGCGCATTTCTTCCAGGCCGGCCGAGGTACACCTCAGTGACCCCCCTGTCCGCGCCGACAACAGCATTGCGAATCACAATTCCCGTTGGCGTGTCAGAGGCGCGGCCCGACGCCGTTATAGTCACAAAAGAGGGGCTCGGGTGTAGCTGGATCTTGGGGCTGTCGATAACCACTGCCGCGTCGCCGAAAATGAAGTCCATCGAGCCGCCGATCCAGCAGTTCTTGTAGTACTGTCGCCCGCGTCCACATACAGCGTATCTTGCGCTCCGTCGAACGCGCAGTTGAAGAGCGCCGTTTGGTCGCCCGTCGCGCGAAACGCGACGGCCTGGTGGTTGTCGGGGCCCGCCGTGTTGACGAACTTGATTCCGAACGCGACGAACCTGTTGGTTGGGTGGTTACCAGTGAGTGTAACGCGGAAATAGCAGAGGACGGGAAGCAGGTGCGGAATTGAGTAGACGAAAGAGCGGAATTGTAAAAGGGCAGAGAGACCGGGGTAACATTGGGGGGAGAATACAGCGGAGACGAAGGTAAAAGGGCGGGAGAGACCGGGGTAAGAGAAATTGAGATACATCGGGGAGGGTGGCAATGTAAGAGAGGCAACCGGAAGAGCGGCATTACCTGTCGCTATCCACGCCGACAGTAGCCGACTCGAACGTGCCCGAACCGCTTGCCATAGCTCGCGTCGCCCGTGATGATCGTCTTATCCGGCCCGCGCCAATCAAAACAATATACGTCGTTTCGATCACCAATCTGCTCGTTGTACGTCCCCGCGGGAATGTAGATCACGAAGCGCTTGCCGCCGGGAGCGGCGTCGACGGCGGATTGGATCGTTTTATACCCGGCGGATCCGACGGTCACGCTGGCTCGAAGTTTCGGGCTGGCAACCATGGGCTTGGCGTTGGGTGACGCCTTCTTGCTGGACTTGCTCTTCTTGCTCGATTTGCTTGACTTGCTGCTGCTCTTGTTCCCCCTTGCTGCTGCTATTCTTGCTGTTCTTGTCCTTCTTCTTCTTGTCCTTCTTATCCCGTCATCGTCATCGTCGTCGTCAAGCTGCCTCCTCGCGAGAGCACCGCCCTCTGAATCCTCCCCGCCGGCAGCAGCGGCGAACTCGGCGTTCATTCTCGGTTTGAAGCTCCTCCAGTTGTGCGTACAAGCCGGGCTCGAGCCAGTCCAGCGCGCCACTACCCGCGGATCCCGCGCCGCTCGATCGGACGGCCATGCGGCGCCCGTGCACTGGTGCCACGTCCTCCTCAGTTGCGGTGGCCGTGGCAGCTTTCGCGGCGGCGTTGGTGATGGCGACGAGGGCGTCGAGCGTGCTGGCCGCTTTCTTCGCCGTGTACTGCGGTTTCGGGTACCGAGATGGAAGGAGATTGTGGGTTCGTTCATACAAAAGGGAGCCTTTACGAATCGAGGAAAACGCAACTGAATTGCTGATGCCTTTGCAGAAGATTGGAAGATGGTCACTTTTCCTTTCGGTTATTCCGTGATTTTGCTTATGTTTTAGGATTGTAACGAACCTGGAGGTGGATGTAAGCGGGGAGGCCCTGCGCGGCGGGCGAGAAGGTCTGGAAGCCGTCGACGCAGTTGCCGATCTGCGTGTCGGCCGCCGCGAGCCAGTACGGCACGTCGCGCTGGTTCGTACCCGCCTCGATCGCGCCGCCGCCTGCCCCAGGTACCGGGAGCGCGATGTTGGCCTGCCGCGCGCACGATTTCGCCATGGCGTTCGTGAAATGGTCGTTCCGCACGTTGGACGCTTTAATCTCGTCGGCCGCCTCGAAAATCGCCGCGACTTGCGCTTGAACCGCCGCGACCATCGCCATGGTTACCTGCTCCGACGACTGAGGGACCACGCCTAGGGATCGCCGCGCCACGCGGAATCCGCGGCGCAGTGGGTGCGGTTGGAGGACGCGACGCACGCGTCGGGGTGGGAGATAACGAGGTAATTGTCCGCCGTCTGGCAGCAGGAGATGACGGCGAGCGCTAGGCCTAGCCCTGCGAACGTCCACGTGGCAACCCGTTTCATCCTCATCGTATCCATGCTCGCGATATAAAGTGACGTTCTTGAACAGATGCTATTCGGCCTACACGCAGGTTTGCAGGCTTGCCAAGTGGTAAATGTCGCTGGTGCAGGCCTTGTGAAGCTCTAAGAGGGGGGGGATTCAGTGAAGGTTATTGGGGTAGCAGCTGCGTGAGATGTAGGAAAAAAACTGGTGATGGTTGTTGAGTGAAACTGGCGCGAATTTATGCGAGTTGTGGCGTGTCATGCGTTTGTTTACCCTCAATACCCTACTTTAACCGTTTTAAAGTGATATCTGATCCTTCTCATCTCAAATGCACCTAACCCCACCGCAATCAAACTTACGCTAGCCCTTGGGTTTGGCTGGGGAAATGAGGTGGTTGAATTAGGGTGAGGTAGGTTGGAGTCGCGGAAGGTGCAATCCAGCTTAGCGCGGCCCGATTTGATGGCTGGCCAAGTCGAAGCGCGAGGCGCTTAGCCCTCCAACCACTGGCTAGGACGAACCGCAGCGGGGCTGATCACCCCCGGGCAGCGCCTGGACCAGATGGGCCCCAAAGGTCAAGCTTCAGGAGCTACGTCTCCTCCCCGCCCTGCATCTTTTCTCATCGAAACAAAAGATGCAGTCCGGAGGACTCTCAGTAAACAAAATGCTTAGCGCATCCAACTTTGTTCTCCGAGAACGTAGTCAGAACTCATGATCGTCCATTCAGCATCTTGCTACTCGTTCTCTCTGACAAAATACGTTCTACAGTTCAAGGTTCCAGTTGGGACGGCTCACCCAAATGCGTTCAGCCTTTCGGCCCCAATTTCGAAGGATGTGGCAATGGCGAGGCAACAGGTTGAGGTGAGGCGATGCGTGAAAGGATGGTGCTTGTAACGATGCTGGGCTACTGAGGAAAGGCTGAATGAAGCGAGAATCTCGATAAAGAGCAACCTTCGCCATAAGAAACGGGACCAGCCAGCCATCATTGTTTCCCGCCAGAAAACTGGCAGACATCACGTCGGACGGGAGAGTTTTGTTCTAGAAGCAGGAACTAGAGAAATTGTTTCAAGTCTTATTTCCCTATTATACAAACAAAGCCCACCGCCCACGACTTTCTCCAACCACGTGGGCCCATAACAAATCTGGATTTTGCATGGCTTGGGGCAAATGTGCCAAAAAATGACACCATTGGTAACATATGTAACTTGTTCAGCCAGTAATGGGTGTCTGTATTTATTCTACATGGTAACCTTTAGTGTCTTTGCATGCATGATTCTTTTTCTGGTCAATAGAAACTCTGTACAGTGCGCAACACAGGGTAAAATTCGAATTGGCTATTGCAAGTTACATGACAACAAGGCTACAAACAGTAAGCGCTTCAAAATGCTCGACAAAATGTAGCAGGAGGCAGGTGATTACATCAAAGCAATCAACGAGCAAGGCTGTCAAACATCGGTATTTGTTATGTTTGTATAGACTGTATAGGATTACCGCTTAGAGGGTACAACACTTAGGTATATTTGTGTGTACTCTCATCTTTACCATTATTCAATTATTCTGATATGGTATCACGCGTAGGTAGGATCCCCCCCCCCCCCCACCTACCGCTTCCGCTCATGCCCCCTAGCGCCCCTCCTGGGCCCCCGTCGCGCTCCTCCCAGGCCCCGTCGCGCTCCTCCCAGGCCCCCTAGCGCCCCTCCTGGGCCCTGTCGCGCTCCTCCCAGGCCCCGTAGCGCCCCTCCTGGGCCTCGTCGCGCCCCTCCTGAGCTTCGTAGCGCCCTCCCAGGCCCCGTCGCGCCCCTCCCAGGCCCCGTCGCGCTCCTCCCAGGCCCACTAGCGCCCCTCCTGGGCCCCGTCGCGCTCCTCCCAGGTCCCGTAGCGCCCCGTCGTGCCCCTCCTGGGCCCCGTAGCGCCCCTCCTGGGCTTCGTCGCGCCCCTCCTGGGCTTCGTAGCGCCCCTCCTGGGCCCTGTAACGCCCCTCCCAGGCCTCGTCGCGCCCCTCCCAGGCCCCGTCGCGATCCTCCCAGGCCCCCCTAGCGCCCCTCCTGGGCCCCGTCGCGCTCCTCCCAGGCCCCGTAGCGCCCCGTCGCTCCCCTCCTGGGCCCCGTAGCACCCCTCCTGGGCCTCGTCGCGCCCCTCCTGGGCTTCGTAGCGCCCCTCCTGGGCCCTGTAACGCCCCTCCCAGGCCCCGTCGCGCCCCTCCCAGGCCCGTCGCGCTCCTCCCAGGCCCCCTAGCGCCCTCCTGGGCCCCCGTCGCGCTCCTCCCAGGCCCCGTAGCGCCCCTCCTGGGCTCTGTCGCGCCCCTCCTGGGCCCCGTCCGCGCTCAGGCCCCGTCGCGCCCCTCCGTGGCTCCGTAGCGCCCCTACTGGGCCCCGTCGCGCCCTCCCTGGGCCCTGTAGCGCCCTCCTGGGCCCCGTCGCACCCTGCCCGACCCCGTCGCAGCCGCCCGGCCCCGTCGCGCCCGCCCGGCGCCGTCGCAGCCGCCCGGCCCCGTCGCGCCCGCCCGGCGCCGTCGCACCCGCCCGGCCCCGTCGCGCCCGCTCGGCCCCGTCGCAGCCGCCTGGCCCGTCGCACCCGCCCGGCCCCGTCGCAGCCGCTTGGCCCGTCGCCCTTGCCTGGCCCCGTCGCAGCCGTCCGGCCCCGTCGCACCTGCCCGGCCCCGTCGCACCCTGCCCGGCCCCGTCGCAGCCGCCCGGCCCCGTCGCACCCGCCCGGCCGCCGTCTCGCTCGCCCGGCCCGTCGCACAGGCCCGGCCCTGCCGCACTCGCCCGGCCCCGTCACCCCAGCCGGCCCCGTCGCGCCCGCTCGGCCCCGTCGCCCGTCCCGGCCCTGTCGCACCAGCCCGGTCCGTCGCGCCCACCCGGCCCCGTCGGGCCAGCCCCGGCCCCGTCCTCCGCACTGGTACGGTTCCCCCCCCCCCCCCACCCCGCCCTGCTCCGTGCCGCCCCGCACCACACTGTACTGCCTGCACCGCACTGCACCGCACTGCACCGGCCACTGTACCGCACTGCACCCCGCACTGCACCAGCACTGTACCGCACACTGCACCGCACTGCACCGCACTGTCCACTGCTCCTGCACCGCACTGTACCCTCTATTGTCACTGATGGCGGAGGTGCTTCGCTTTGACACTGAGGGCCAGCCGATTGAGTTTGATGCGTGGCTTGCTGACCTCCGTCACCACCTCACTGGTCAGCGGCATGATGGCCACTCTCTGTCTGTCCATCTTGACGGTACACTCCCCTGCCCTGACCCCCCGCTGCACTGTCTACTGATCTCTCGTCCGCTGAGCGTGAGTCCGCTGCGGCCGCTGCCCTTGCTCGCTCTGTCTGGCTGTCCCGTGACGCTGTCGCACAGCTTGTCATTAGCAATGCCCTCCCCCTGTCCGAGCGACCTTGCTTCAGGTCTACCACCACTACCCAGGCTTTCCTAGATGATGTTGTCCAGCGCTATTCCACCCCGCCTGCTGCCTCGGTCGGTCGTCTGATCCTCCCTATGCTCTTCCCTGACCTTGCGTCGCTCCCCACTGTCGCCGACCTGGCCACTCACCTGCGCACTATAGATGAGACGTGGCGTGCTGCCTGCACTCCCAAACAGCTTCTAGCCCACCAGCCGCCCCTCACCTCTACTCTCTACTTGCTAGCCACCCGCCTCCCTGACCGTCTTGCCACTGCCCGTGACCACTTCCTTAGCGTCCATCCCGCAGACCTCACCCTCACTGACTTTGTTGACACCCTGTCCGCTATAGAGGCCCGCCACCGCTCTATCGCTCAGACCAGCGGTACTGTGCCGGTCCCTATCTTTCAGGGTAGCGCCCCCGCTCAGTGCACCTTCTCTGACGGTTCTGTTGCTGTGGCTGAGACTGCCGCTGCAGCACAGGTCCGTCCGGGGAAGGGTTGCCACCCCAAGGCTGGGCGTGGCGGCGGGGGTGGGTGTGCAGGTGTAGGTGGTGCTGCAGTTGGGTCTCCTGGTGGTGGTGCGGACGAGGGGACCCTGCCAGGTGCAGCCGAGCAGCCGTCTCAGTAGTAGCCGGCGTTGCACTCGGACTCGCGTCAGCCGCAGCAATCGCAACAGTCGCAGCCGCAGCAGAGACGGGCGAGTGGTCTCCCTCCCGGGTGGCCTGGCGCTGGTGGTAGCGCTGGACGTGGTGGTGGTGCGTGTGGTGGGCTGCTGGGTGGTGGTTCGGGTGACGCGCGCTGTCAGTACCTGCTCCAGACCGGTCCTCGCCGTGGCTTCGTTTGCGGTAAGATCGGTCACACTTCCGTCTGCTGTTTCCGTCGCCTGAACGACCTGTTTTGTCAACGTTTCGGCCCGTCGCCCGAGCTCCCAGACTGGCAAAGTTTGCTACGTCGTAGGGTTCAGATTTTTTATCTGGATATGGATGAGATTGTTACTGCTCTGCATGTAATGTATGCTGATGACTCTAGTGTGCTTCCGTCTTATTACCCCTTGTTGCCTAGTGTAGGTGTGCCTTGCTTAGACTCCCCTGCTGCGTCAGGCGTAGGATCCCCTGCTTTGTTTAGCCTTGGTGCTTCCGTCGCTGCTTCGCCTCCGGCCGCCACTGCCGCGCTCTTCTTCACCCTCGACTCTGGCGCTTCCCGGTGCTTCTTCCGTGACTCCACCACGTTGACACCGCTTCCTACCCCTGCCGCAGTCTCTCTTGCTGACCCCTCCTCCGGCCCAGTAGACGCCCGCAGTTCCACCACCCTCCCCTGCCCGGCGGTTCCTTCGGGCTCACTCACAGGACTTCACATCCCCTCGTTCTCCAGGAACCTAGTTGGTGTCGGCTGCCTCCAGGACCTTGGCGTCACCACTACGTTCCCTGGTCACGAGCGGTATGCTGTCTGTACCGAGGCCGCCACTGGTGCCCCCCTGTCCACGTTCCCCCGGGACCCGGTGTCCGGCCTGTTCACTCTGGACATCGTGCCCCCCCCGGCTGGAGCGCCCCCTCAGGTGGCTGTGTCTACCCAGGTTGCTGCTGCCTGCTCCTGTCGCTCCCTCACTCACCCGACCCTCCTGTGGCACCACCGCCTAGGTCACCCTGCGCTCCCGCGTCTGCGTCACATGTCCCAGCACGGTCTTGTCCTTGGTCTCCCAGGTTCACTCCCCGCGTTTCCCTCCTCCCCAGCTCCACCTTGCACGCCTTGTGTCGAGGGTCGGCTTCGCCGTGCCCCTCACTCCTCCTCGTTCCCCCCTACCGCCGCGCCGCTGCAGACCCTGCACCTGGACGTCTGGGGCCCCGCCCCCGTCCCTGGGCCGCGTCGCGAGCGCTACTTCCTTGTGCTTGTCGACGACTTCACTCGTTACACCACAGTCTTTCCCCTGGAGCGCAAGGCCGACGTGCCTGGCGCCCTCATCCCCTGGCTTGTCTCTGCGCGTGTCCACCGCGGTCTCCCTGTCTTGCGTCTTCACTCAGACCGTGGTGGCGAGTTTGCCTCAGGTGTCCTTGGTCGCTTTTGTCGTGCGGAGGGCATCACCCAGACGTTCACCCTACCGGACTCCCCACAGCAGAATGGGGTCGCTGAGCGACGCATCGGCTTGGTCATGGAGGTCGCTCGCACCTCCATGGTCCATGCCGGTGCACCCCATTTTCTGTGGCCGTTCGCTGTGCGCTACGCTTCTCACCAGCTTAACCTGTGGCCGCACCCTCAGCAGCCGCAGGTTTCGCCGACCCGTCTGTGGACTGGGTCTCCTGGTGACGCGTCTGCGTTCCACGTCTGGGGCTGCCTTGCTCACGTCCGTGCCTCCGGCACGGACAAGCTCACTGCCCGCACCCTTCCCTGCGTCTTCCTCGGTTTTCCCCTTGACGCGTCCGACTGGCACTTTTACCACCCGCCGTCTCACCGCTTCTTTCACTCTCGTGACGTCACCTTTGACGAGTCCGTCTCCTACTACCGCCGCTTCCCCCACCGTGGTCCCCCGGTTACCCCCCCCCTGTTCCTGGTCACCCCTTCCCCGGTAGTCCCTGCCCCTCCTCCTCCTCCTCCCCGTCCCGCCCCCTCTGGTGTCTCCCATGTCACCCCCCTTCCGTCCGTGGACCCGGTTGAGGAGTCTTCTGACTCTGGTGGCCCTCCGGTGCAGTCCTCGCCGGCCGCCCCTCCCCAGGTGTCCCCTCCCCAGTCCCCTCCTCCGCCGTCCCTGCCGCCACTGCAGCCGTCGCCGTCGCCGCCGCCGCCGCCGCCGCCGCAGTCGCAGCCCCCGTTCGCTGACTCTGGGGGTGCTCGTCCCGGTCGCCCTGAGGGTGGTCCCTCTGGGGGTGCGGGTGTGGAGAGTGCCGGTGGTAGCCGAGGAGCAGCTTGCGGTCCAGGTGTCGCCGTTGTGCCGCCGCAGCAGCAGTCCCCGCCGGTGTCCGCCCTTCGCCTGCTCGGCCTTCCGTCCCCCGACCCTGCGTCGGTTCCTCCCCGACCGTCTCCTCCTCTTCCTGTCTACGGCCCTGTTTTCCCTCCGCCGGACTCGTCCCCGGCCCGTCTCCCCCCTCGTTCCCCTCCTGTGTCCCCTCCCCTGTCTCCTGACCCGACTCCTCCATCGCACGTCTGGTCTCACCGTCCCTCCCGTGCTCGTCCTGCCTCGCCTGTCCTGCGCTCCCACCCTATGTTGCTTCGTTCACACGCGTCTCGTCCTCCCCTTCTGCCGTCACCTCCTCCGTCCTCCCTTGTTGTTGCGCCCCCCCCGCTGTCCGACTACCTTCGTGCCGCTCGTCCTCTTGTTCCTCGGGTCCTTGCCTCTCTCGTTACCGACCCGTCTGTTCCAGTCTCGTGCCTTGACGCTCTTGTCGCTGCTGTCGCTGACTTCGCCTCTACCCGCCGCCTTTACTACGCCACCGCTCTGGTCTCTGACCCTGCCTGTCCTCCGTCTGTCGGGGGTGCTCCTGCCCTTGGCAGTGACGTCCTGGAGGACCGCCAGTTCGAGCTTGCTTTCCTCTCCGAGGCTGCTCCCCATCTCTGTTCCATGCTGCTAGTCCCTGAGGGTGACCCAGACGCTTTCGACATCCCGACCCCTCGCACTTACGCTGAGGCGACTTCGGGACCCTGGGCCTCGCAGTGGATAGCTGCCATGGAGCAGGAGATGGCATCTTGGAGATCCACCGGCACCTTCGTCGACGCAGTTCCCCCACCTGGGGTGAACGTAGTCGATGGCCGCTGGCTCTTCAAGGTGAAGCGCCCTCCTGGAGAGCCGCCTGTCTTCAAGGCGCGCTATGTGGCTAGAGGCTTCAGTCAGCGCGAGGGGGTGGACTTCTTCCAGACTTTCGCTCCGACCCCGAAGATGACTACTCTTCGGGTTCTGTTACACCTAGCTGCTCAGCGTGACTACGAGCTTCACTCCCTCGACTTCTCCACTGCCTTCCTTCAGGGCAGCCTACACGAGCAGGTCTACCTGCGCCGCCCTCCGGGCTTTACTGGCACCTTCCCTCCTGGGACCCAGTGGCTCCTGCGGCGCCCCGTCTACGGCCTGCGCCAGGCTCCCCGTGAGTGGCACGACACTCTGCGTGCTACGCTTGCTGACCTGCAGTTCTTTCCGTCTTCTGCAGACCCTTCCCTCTTCGTTCGTGCTTGCCAGACTCCGTTCTACATCCTCGTTTACGTTGATGACCTGGTCTTTGCCACAGCAGACAGGGACGCACTGGCCTCCGTGAAGGCAGAGCTGCTGAAGAGACACACCTGCACTGATCTTGGAGAACTGCGCCGTTACCTTGGCTTGCAGATCTCCAGGGACAGAGCTGCGCGCACCATCACCCTGACTCAGTCACACTTGGTGCGCCAGGTCCTTCAGAGGTTCAGCCTTCAGTTCTCCTCTGCACAGCCCACCCCTCTGCCTGTAGACCACAGGCTCTCCGCTCCAGTGCCTGAGGAGTTGGTAGAGCCCAGCGGCCCCTACGCAGAGCTGGTGGGTTGCCTCATGTACCTGATGACTTGCACTCGCCCAGATCTCGCATACCCTCTCAGCATCCTGGCTCGCTTTGTGGCCACAGGCAGACACCGACCGCAGCACTGGTCTGCCGCTAAGAGGGTTCTGCGTTATCTTGCTAGTACATCGGGCATGGGGTTAGTGCTAGGAGGACGCAGGCCAGCGGTCCTTACTGGGCACACTGACGCTTCGTGGGCAGACGACGCTGAGACACTCCGGTCTACCCAGGGCTACTGCTTCAGCCTTGGCTCAGGTGCCGTCTCGTGGAGAGCTACTCGCTCCTCGTCTGTTGCACAGTCCAGCTGTGAGGCTGAGATCTACGCCGGTGCCATGGCGGCACAGGAGCTCCGCTGGCTGACCTTCTTGCTCACTGACTTAGGTGAGCGGCCTAGCTCTGCCCCAGTCCTGTTCACTGACAACAGGGCCATGATCCTCCTGTGTCAGGAGCCTCGACTCGAGGGCAGAGCGAAGCACATTCAGCTGCGGTACTTCCTCCTGCGTGAGCTACAGCAGCGACGTCAGGCTCGCGTAGTACACTTGGCCTCAGGTGCCAACACGGCTGATATCTTTACGAAGGCGCTTGCGCCTAAAGATCATCAGCGGCACTGTGTACAGCTTGGTCTAGTTCCTGTAGCCTCTCACTTGCTAGGACCTTGACTTTGTACTGTCCTTTATATGTATACTCAGACTGGACTTGTGTCCTCTCCCAGTGGCTGGACTAGTAGTACCGCCCTGCTCTTGTGCTTGCCTTGTCTGTACTCCTTCTGACCGGTCGCTCAGACCCTTGCCTCAGAGGTTGGACTAGTAGTGCCGCCCTGAGCTGCTTGTTTAGGGTATTCCCCTATGCAGTCTAGGGGGTGTGTCAAACATGTGTATTTGTTATGTTTGTATAGACTGTATAGAGTCACCTCTTAGAGGATACAAAACTTAGATATATTTGTGTGTACTCTCACTTTACTATTATTCAATTATTCTGATAGATACCTGCAGATTTTTCATATAACCCCCTTTACCTAGCCATACCCCTGTATCCCGCGGAACGTGTCATTTCACGCGCACTGACAAAATCACCGGTCCGTGCTCGAGGTTGTGTGAGGGGGCTGATTGGGCCTTAACCAAAATCACCACGCCATGTGTGCTGGAAGGCGTGTGAGGGCGCAAATTGGCCCTTCATCACATCTGGGGTCGAGCAAGATGGGTTGTTTACTGTGTGAGGGCGTCGTGGGCCCTTCACCAGATTTACACATGTGCTTGCGGGGCTGTTTGCGGGAAATCCCACCCGTCGCTACCAAGCATTGCTCCGTGTTTCGCGGCATCTCTAGCGTGCTACGGTCCACCCGAGCGTCGCATACCTCCACTGTCGCTGCCGTTACAGCCTTCGACAGTACCGAGAGACCTAGTAGCCGGAACTCTGCTAATGGGGGCCGCTCGTTAAAGTCGATATTTTTCCGCACCGGAGCGCAGCACGGTGAGGGACGCCCTGCAGAGAGCGCAACGTGCCGCAGCCCCCGCAACAGCCACTGGCTCCACGTCAGAACATGATAATGGCGAAGCGAGAGGACGGATGGGGAGGAGGGCTGCAAGGGCAGCAATCGACGGCTGGAAATCGCGTCAGCCTGCAGTCGCAACAGCAGGAACGGTCGAGATCGCGGCAAGGGCAGCAGCCATTTGGGCTGCCGCGAAAACAGGGGCCGGCCGACCAGCAGCACCCACCGCAGCATCCGCCGCAGCATCCGCCGCTACAGCAGCAAGTGCAGCTGCAAGATTGCCGTTTTCTCCCCACATGCGCATTTCGCTGTTTTTTTTCGCCACTCTGCAACAGGGTTACTTAGAAATCCCCTCTGAACTGTCAGTGTAAATGTTGTAGAGAGAAAAAAAACCCTGGAAAATCAGAGAAAACATTGGGGGTCACTCTGATTTTCAGAGTAATGAAAAAAACCACTCCCAAATTTCAGAGTTGTAAAAATCCAAAAATAGGCCCTGGTACAACACCCTAGTCTATATACCCTTGTACTCACACTTTCTAGTTTATTATTCTTTCTAATACAACCCTGAAAGATAGAGACTGGCACGGTATCACTAGACAGCAGTACCACCTTGTATCATGATGTTATATCCCCTTGTACCACCTCCTACTCATTCGTTCTACTCCGAGTATGTATCTTCTCACTATCCGACAGCAGACCTTCACTTCTCATTACTAACTCGCACATGGGGCACCAACCAAACTCAGGCACCAAGCTCCGTTCTATACACACCCCGTGCATTTGGAATAAAGCCCGTGCTGAATCTCCTTCGCTGTAAACCACACAATGGGGTACATGCAAGGTATTGAATAGCACATCACAATACACGCAGCAACAATCACTTGCGTCTCATCCCACCCCCTCTCATCCCCCTGTCACCGCAACCGCCGCCTCATTTGCCACGCGGACAGCCCCCACTGCGCCATTCCAGCCAGACCAGCCGCCCCCTTCACTTCCCCGCCCCCCACTCTGCCCTTCCCGCTGCCCACCCCCACCCCCCGCCCACCTCTATGCTCCCCAACTCCCCCAACCCCAGTGCGCCCCCCTCCTCCGCCGCTCCTCCGGCCACTCCTGCGTCCCTGCTTTCCAGCCCTGCTCCTTCCGCCTTCATCCCGCTCGCCGCCTCTGGCGCCGCTACAGGCGCGCGACCCAATTTGCGGTTCTGGCCCGTGCGCGAGGCAGCAGCCGTCGCAGCAGCAGCAGCGCTGGACCACGCGTCGCTCGCGCTAATCCCGCCATTACTAGGGTTGCTCCTATTCCAGAGAATCTCCCACGAGTCGCTGTACTCGCCGCTGCCCGACCGCGCGCGCGCTTCGTCCGCCGCAATCAGCGCCGATTGCTCCGGGCTCCAGATATGCTGCACGAACGTGAGCACGAAGAAAAGCGCCACCAGTAGCAGCAGCATCGGCAGCATCACCCCCTCCCCTCCCCCGCCCGCCTGCCCGCCCTTGCTTCCGCCACACATCCCGCTGCGACTCCTGGCGCTCTTGCCCTGCCGGTGCTCCTTCCGCCCGAAGAATCCGCCCATCCCGCGGGTTTCGCTCCTTCGTGGCGCGGGCGACGGGAGTAGCGACTGGCGGGACGGAGGGCGGGGCGGCTTCGCGGAACCTAACGGCGCGCGGATAGCAGCAGCGCGATCGCTTGCGCCGGTGCAGGGGGCGACGGCGGCGACTTTGCTGGGCTGGCGGGTGAATATCGATGCGAATTGTTCCAATAACGAGCCTGCTCCTGAGGTACGAGACTCGCCGCACGAGGGGGCGGTTCGAGGCCCCGATACTGTCACGCCTGTGCTTGGGAGTTTGCCGTAACTCGAGCTCTCCGTTGCACCTGCGAACGCTCGCGCGGAGGAGCTTCCGCCATCCCCGCTGTTGCTGCGCAGCACGCTCTTCCGCCGCTCACGCGAGGGGCTGAGGCTCCGCTGTAACGGCTGCTTCACTACTTCGGTTACCACCTCCCCCTGTCCCGCCCGCCTGTAACCATCAGCTTCCCAGGAGTTCCCTTCCGCCCGCAGCGGCTGGTCCTTCTTCGACTGCGCAAGGTCGGCCGCGCACGGGGGGGCGGGTAAAACGCTAAGGTAGGGGCAGCCACTGGCGCTGGCGGCGCTGGCGGCGGGGGTGTAGGCGATACCAGGGATGATGGGGACGGCAGGCGGAGCGAGGGAAATGGGCGGAGTGGAGAAAAAGCAGCCGTACTCCAGCGGTTGCTCCGGCTGCGCGGGTTGCGAGGAGTGCGCGGACTCGGACAGCTGCTGCGCCGGCGGCGGCGACGGGAAGCGATGCGCGGAGGGGGGAGGGCTGGGCGCGCGGGGGCTAGGGGTGAAGTTCCAGGCTTGGAAGAGGTGCGGGTGGATGGAGCGCGAGGAGGGGGAGAGGAGGATGGAGGCGACGGACGCGGAGATATCGTGGGTGAGCGCGACGAACGGTAGCAGGTGATCGCTCTGCGGGCTGCACGGCGCCGCGCCTGCGTACGCCGCTGCTGCCTGCTCCATCGATGCTTGAGAAATTCCGAAAGCCCGCGAGTCTTTAAGAGTCAGATTTCAAAAGCCTGAGCTTCTTATGTCTCTTCGCTTTCGTTAACAACTTTCAGAGGCGCGCTGTTTCTAAAATCGCTGGATAGCGATGCCCGAGAGATCACACAAGGATTCGAGAATTAGGCGGGAGATGGATTTTCCTACAAGGGGGCGATTTTGCGCTAGCGTGGACTATGCTAAACGACTGTGTTTGCTGCTGCATTTGCTTATTAGGAGAAGGCTCAGCACTCAACGGCAGAGGGAGACATCGGAGGAAGCAAGAGAGCCAGGCAAGGCGGGGGAAGGGAAGGTGCGGGCGGCAGACCCACCGTTTGGGGTGAGGTGAGGTGGTGGCGTGGAGGGGAGAGTGTTGAGTTGAGGGAGCGAGCCAGTGGCGCTATGCTGGCTTCGCTGGTGCAGGGGGAGGGGCGGCGTGCTGTGGTGGTGCAGTGAGAGAGTGGGGTGGAGCTGAGCCATCAGAACCAGCTGGGCTAGGGGGGACTGGGTGGGCCGCGGAGGACGGTGGGGGTGCAGGGAGGGATGGGGGGAGTGAAGTGCAGCTGGATGTGTGGCTGAGAGTGGGTGGAGCCGCCTGTGCGGTGCGCGCAAGCCCGTTCCGCTGCATGAAGGGCGCGTGCCTTTCCCTTCCCAAACCAGCTGTATTCTTTTGCTGACGGGAAAAGTTTTTCCATCGTGTCGTGTCGTGTCATTCAATCTTGGGGGCTTGATGACAGGGTTTCATCTGCCGATGGCTCGTCCCAGGCCTAGCAAGCATCCCTGTTGCCTAAGGCCCAGTTGTACCGTACCGTACCGCTATGTTCGGCCCAGGGAGAACAGTTTCGGGAGTAGGTGTGGCGGAGGTCCGTGCGGTGCGGCGACCCACCTGAATGTTCGCGAACGACCGACACCCAGCCGACTGCCATCAGCGCCTCGTAAGGCTACCCACGCTGACCGCCACATCAGCTCACACGGCATCTTTCCTGATGAGGCCGCAGGAGTGAAGGACCTCCGATCTGCCAGTGATGACAATTGCATCGACGGCAGTGACCGCACTTCCCGTCCAATCCACTCCACCACAGCTCGGACGCGCACCGCATGCGTCGGAAAAATCTTCGAACTCTTCGTTTGAAGAACCAACAGCCACCTGCGACACGGCAAGAATGTGCCAGAACTACGTTGCGGGGAAATTATTGGACTGAAGAATATTCCACTGTCGGGAACTCCGTGTTCCGTTCTAACCATCCCTACCATCTTGTACGGTTTATATGGACAGCTTAACGTTAATCTTTGATGGGTTGGTGTTATGAACGCAAAACAGCAAGAAATAATAATAATTTTAGTGAATACGATGATAAAATCTGAAACATTAAAATACCAGCTCTAAGCTCAAATCATAAATGGAAAGCTCGACAATGCTCGGAACATGTTGTCAAACTGAAAGAATGACTAGAATGTGAGAGTACAAGGCATTATAACCTAAGGGGCTGTACTCTCTAACGCACAACCCTATATGGCCTACAACATCACACACAAATGTGTTTAACACACCCCCTAGACTGGATAGGGGCAATGTCTGTTGAGAGACAAACAGCTCAAGGTGGCACTACTAGTCCAACCTCTGAGGCAAGGGTCTAAAGACCAGTCAAACAAGTACATACCAAGGCATGAGCAAGACCACTGCGGCACTACTAGTCCAGCCACTGGGAGAGAGGCCACAAGGCCAGTCAGGATAATATATATATAAAGGTCTGTACATAATCAAGGCCCTAGCAAGTGAGAGGCTACAGGAACGAGACCTAGGTGTACACAGTGCCGCTGATCATATTTTGGCGCAAGCGCCTTCGTAAAGATATCAGCTGTGTTGGCACCGAAGGCCAAGTGTACTACGCGAGCCTGGTGGCGCTGCTGTAGCTCGCGCAGAGGAAGTACCGCAGCTGGATGTGCTTCGCTCTGCCCTCAGGTCGAGGCTCCTGATACAGGAGGATCATGACCCTGTTGTCAGCGTATACGACCGGCGCAGAGCTAGGCCGCTCACCCAAGTCAGTGAGCAAGAAGGTCAGCCAGCGGAGCTCCTGTGCCGCCATGGCACCAGCGTAGATCTCGGCCTCACAGCTGGACCGGGCAACAGATGAGGAGCGAGTAGCTCTCCACAAGACGGCAGCTGAACCAAGGCTACAGCAGTAGCCCTGGGAGGACCTGAGGGTCTCAGCGTCGTCTGTCCAAGAAGCGTCTGTATGCCCAGTAAGGACCACTGGCCTGCGTCCTCCTAGCACTAACCCCATGCCCGATGTGCTTGCTAGATAACGCAAAACCCTCTTAGCACCCGACCAGTGCTGTGGTGAGTGTCTGCCTGTGGCCACAAAGCAAGCCAAGATGCTAAGAGGGTATGCGAGATCTGGACGAGTGCAAGTCATCAAGTACATGAAGCAACCCACCAGCTCTGCGTAAGGATCACTGGGCTCTACTGACTCCTCAGGAACTGGAGCAGAGAGCCTGTGATCTACTGGCAGAGGTGCGGAGGAGAACTGAAGACCGAACCTCTGAAGGACCTGGCGCACCAAGTGGGACTGGGTGAGAGTGATAGTGCATGCTGCTCTGTCCCTAGAGATCTGGAGGCCAAGGTAGTGGCGCAGTTCTCCAAGGTCAGTGCAGGTGTGTCTCTTCAGCAGCTCTGCCTTCACGGAGGCCAGTGCGTCCCTATCTGCAGTTGCGAAGACCAGGTCCTCTACGTAAACAAGGATGTAGAACGGGGTCTGGCCAGCACGAACGAAGAGCGAGGGGTCTACAGAGGATGGAAAGAACTGCAGGTCAGCAATAGTAGCACGCAATGTGTCGTGCCACTCACGGGGCGCCTGTTGCAAGCCGTAGACTGGGCGCGGCAGTAGCCACTGGGTCCTAGGAGGGAAGGTACCAGTGAAGCCCTGAGGGCGGCGCAGGTAGACCTGCTCGTGTAGGCTGCCCCGCAGGAAAGCAATGGAGAAGTCGATGGAGTGTAACTCGTAGTCACGATGTGTTGCTACGTGTAGCAGCGCCCGAAGAGTAGTCATCTTCGGGGTCGGGGCAAAGGTCTGAAAGAAGTCCACCCCCTCACGCTGACTGAAGCCTCTATCCACGTAGCGCGCCTTGAACGCAGGCGGCTCTCCAGGGGGGCGCTTCACCTTGAAGAGTCACCGGCCATCGAGTACGTTCACCCCAGGTGGGGGAACTGCGTCGACGTAGGTGCCGGTGGATCTACAAGATGCCATCTCTTGCTCCATCACAGCTATCCACTGAGAGGCCCAGGGTCCCAAGGTGGCCTCAGCGTAGGTGCGAGGGGTCGGGATGTCGAAAGTGTCTGGGTCAACCTTAGGGACTAGCAGCATGGAACAGAGATGGGGAGCAGCCTCGGACTGGAGAGCAAGTTCGTACTGCCGGTCCTCCAGGACGTCACTTCCGAGGGCAGGTGCACCCCCGACAGACGGAGGACGAGCAGGGTCAGAGACCAGAGCAGTGGCGTAGTCATGGCGGCGGGTAGAGGCGATATCAGCGACCGAAGAGACAAGAGTGTCAAGACGCGAAACAGGAACAGACGGGTCGGTTACGAGAGAGGCAAGGACCTGAGGAATACGAAAACGAGCTGCACGAAGGTAGTCAGACAGAGAGGGAGGCGCGACAACAAGGGAGGACGGAGGAGGCGACGGCAGGAGGGGAGGACAAGATGCGTGGGAACGGAGCAACATTGGGTGAGAGCGCGGAACAGGAGAGACAAGACGAGCACGAGAGGGATGGCAGGACCAGACGTGAGACGGAGGTGTCGGGTCAGGAGGCAGAGGAGGAGAACGCGGGAGAAGACGAGCTGGAGACGAGTCCGGAGGAGGGAACACAGGGCCGTAGACAGGAAGGGGAGAAGACGCTGGACGAGGCACAGACGCGCGGTCAGGGGACGGAAGGCCGAGCAGGCGAAGGGCTGACACCGGCGACGACTGCTGCTGCGGCGGCAAGGCGGCGATACCGGGACCGCCAGCTGCTCTATGGCCAACTCAAGAACACTCCACTCCAGCACCCCTAGAACCAGGAACCTCTCCAGCACCCCTAGAATCAGTAACCTCTCCAGCACCGATACCACCTCCAGGCCCGCCGCGACAAGCCACGACAGGAACCCGAGGACGAACACCCTCCTCAACACCAGCACCCCAGGGTCGACAAACTGCTGCTGCGACGCCTGCGACAACGCCTGCGGCAGCGGCGGCAGCTACGACGACGGCTGCTGCGACGACGGAGGAGGAGACACCGGGAGGGCGGGCGGCAAGGACTGCGCCGCACGGCCACTAGAGTCAGCAGACTCCTCGACCGGGAAAATTGACGGGAGGGGGATGACGTAAGACACACCAGACAGGGCAGGGCGGGGAGGGGGAGGAGCATGGGCGACCGGGGGAGGGGGAACCAGGAACAAGGAGGGAGTAACCGGGGGACCACGGTGGGGAAAGCGGTGGTAGAAAGAGATGGACTCGTCAAAGGTGACGTCGCGAGAGTGAAAGAAATGGTGAGACGGCGGTTGGTAGAAGTGCCAGTCCGAAGAGTCAAGGGGGATACCGAGGAAGACACAGAGGACCGTTCGGACAGTGAGCTTGTCCATGCCAGAGGCAGAAACGTGAGCAAGGCAGCCCTAGACGTGGAACGCAGACGCGTCACCAGGGGACCCGGTCCAAAGAAGTGTCGGCGAAACTTGCGGCTGCTGGGGGTGCGGCCATAGGTTAAGCTGGTGAGCGGCGTAGCGAACGGCGAACGGCCACAGAAAATGCAAAATGGGGTGCACAAGCATGGATCATGGAGGTACGAGCCACCTCCTTGGCCAAACTGATGCGTCGCTCAGCGACCCCATTCTGCTACGGGGAGTCCGGCAGGGTGAACGTCTGGGTGATGCCCTCCGTACGACACAAAAGACCAAGGACGCCAGAGGCAAACTCGCCACCACGGTCGGAGTGAAGACGCAAGACTGGGAGACCGCGGTGCACATGCGCAGAGACCAGCAATGGGATAAGAGCGTCAGGCACGTTGGCTTTCCGCTCCAACGGAAAAACCATGGTGTAGCGCGTGTAGTCGTCGACAAGCACGAGGAAGTAGCGCTCTCAACGCGACCCATGGAGCGGGCGAGGGCCCCAAACGTCCATGTGCAGGGTATGTAGCGGTGCAGTGGTGGGGGGGAACGAGGAGGAGTGAGGGGCACGACGGAGCTGGCCCTCAACGCAGGGTGTGCACGGCGGCGCTGGGGAGAAGGGCAACTCAGGGAACGACTCTGGGAGAAATATGACAAGACCGTGCTGTGACATGTGACGCAGACGCGGGAGTGCGGGGTGACCTAGACGGTGGTGCCATAGAAGTGTCGGGTGAGTAAGCGACCGACACGAGCAGGGCGCATCAACCTGGGTAGACGCAGCCACCTAGGGAGACGTCCCAAGGGGGGGAGGGGGGGGGGGGGGGCGCAGTGTCCAGCGTGAACAGGCCAGACATCGGGTCCCGTGGGAACGTGGTGAGGGGAGCACCAGTGGCGGCCTCGGTACAGACAGCGTACCGCTCGTAACCAGGAAATGTAGTGGTGACGCCAAGGTTCTGGAGGCAGCCCACACCAACTAGGTTCCTAGAGAACGAAGGGATGTGCAGGCCTGTAAGAGAGCCCAAAGGAACCGCCCGACAGGGAAGGGTGGGGGAGCTACAAGCGACTACCGGACCTGAGGAGGGGTCGGCAAGGGTAACTGCGGCGGCAGTGGCAAGCAACGTCAGCGTAGTGGAGTCGCGAAAGAAACACCGGGAAGCGCTGGAGTCCAGGGTAAAGGAGAGCACAGTAGTGGCGCCCAGGGTCGGAGTGGCGAGGGAGGAGCCAAGACTAAACAAGGCAGGGGATCCTAAGCCTAACGCAGCAGGGGAGGCCGGACTAGGCACACCTACACTAGGCAACAAGGGGTAGTAGGAACCAGTCACACTAGAGTCATCGACATACATCACATACAAAGCAGAGCTAATCTTATCCATGTCCATATCAAAGATCTGAACACTATGGCGAAGCAAGCTGTGCCAGTTGGGAAGGTCGGGCGACGGGCCGAAGCGAAGATGAAACAGGTCGTCTAGGCGACGAAAACAGCGGGCGGAGGTGTGACCGATCTTACCGCACATGGAGACGCGGCGAGGACCGGTTTGAAGCTGGTACTGACAGCGCCCGTCACCCGAACTACCACCCGATGGCACACTGCGCGCACGACCACCACGTCCACCGCCAACACTAGCGCCAGGCCACCCGGGCGGGAGACCACCAGTCCGCCGCTGCTGCGGCTACTGCTGCGGCGCCTGCTGCTGCTGGTCCTGCTGCTCGTAGGCACCAGCCCCAGTCCCCTCGTCCGTATTACCAGCGTGCGGCCCTGCTCCACCACCTTCTCCACCCCCTCCTCCACTACCACCGCCACGCCCATCCTTGGGACGGCGACCCTTCCCCGGACGGAACTGCGTTGCGGCGGCTGTCGCCATAGCAGGCGATGTCTCTGCGACAGCAGCAGAACCGTCAGAGAAAGTATACTGAGGGGGGCACAACCCTGAAAGATAGTGACCGGCATAGTACCGCTAGACTGGGCGATAGAGCGCTAGCGGGTCTCTATGGCAGACAGGGTGTCGACAAAGCTAGTGAGGGTGAGGTCAGCGGGGTGGAAACTAAGGAAGTGATCGCGGGCGGTAACAAGGCAGTCAGGAAGGCGGGTGGCAGGCAGGTAGATGGTAGAGCAGATGGGTGGCTGAAAGACACGAAGCTGAGAATCAGTGCAGGCAGCGCGCCAAGTGGCGTCTTGCGTGCGCAGGTGGGCGGCCAAGTCAGCGACTCTGGGGAAAGACGCGAGATCGGGAAAGAGCATGGGCAGGATCAGACGACCGACTAAGGCAGCGGGTGGGGTGGAGTAGCGCACGACAACAGCCTCGAGGAACTCCTGCGCAGTCCTGACTGACCGAAACCGTGGGCGCTCAGACATGGGGAGGGCATGACTGATCGCGAGCTGTACGACTGCGTCACGCGACAGCCAGACTGAGCGGGCAAAGGCGGCAGCGGCATCGGACTCATGGTCAGCAGACGAGGGGTCAACGGGCAGGGCAGCAGGGAGGTCAGGGCAGGGGAGCGTACCGTTGAGGTGGACGGCCAAAGAGGGGGCCGTCTTGCCGCTGACCAGTGAGTTGGCTGCGGAGGTCGACGAGCCACGAGTCGAACTCGACCCCTCCGCGTCGAAGCGCAGCACCAAGTCCGCCATCAGTGTCGGTTCGGTGGCAGAAGGACAGGGCAGTACAGTGGAGTGCGGTACAGTGCGGTGCAATATAGTGCAAGGCGTTGCAGTGCGGTGCAGTACAGTGCAGGGCGGTGCGGGGTCAGCGCGGGCCGGCCGGAAGGAAAGGGCGGCTGGGCGACGGGGTCGGCTAGGTGACGGGGCCAGCTACCTGGCGGAGTCGGCTCGGCGTGGTCGGCTATGCGACGGGGTCGGCTTCGAGACGGGGCTGGCTGCAGGACGGGGCCGGCTAGGGGACGGGCCGGCGGCGGGACAGGGCCGGCTAGGGGGACGGGGCCGCGGGTGGACGGGGCCAAGGGGCCGCTAGGGGACAGGGCCGCGCGGCCGCTGGTCGACGGGGCCGAGAGGCCGCTAGGGGACAGGGACGCTAGGGGACGGGGTCGCAGGGCCGCTAGGGGACGGGGCCGCTGGTCGACGCCGCTAGGGGACGGGGCCGCGGGGCCACTAGGGGACTGGGCCGCGGGGCCGCTGGTCGACGGGGCCGAGGGGCCGCTAGGGGACGGGGCCGCGGGACCGCTGGTTGATGGCTAGGACCTACGGCGGAAGCGCTGGTGGGCGAAGGGGACCTAACCTACTCATGATACCATGTCAAACTGAAAGAATGACTAGAATGTGAGAGTACAAGGCATTATAACCTAGGGGGCTGTACTCTCTAAGGCACAACTGTATATGGTATACAACATCACACACAAATGTGTTTGACAAATGCGGCGGGCAAATGGTCTTGGAGTGCACTAGACGAGTACGAATTGTGATAAAGAGCACAAATGTGCATGCGACTAGGGAGGGATTGGCTACATTTGGGTGATGCGACTAGGATGAATGGGATGGGAACCCTTTATATAAGGAAATGGCGTTTTCTTACCGTTAGCAATTATAATCCTCGCGTAATTGCTTCCTGATGGGAATTCAAGAACAATTATTTGATGGGAAACCTTGATATGCTTATCACATGCACACTTAAAGGCTGAACTCAATATGCTAAGTATCCTATCTAAAGATTTTAGACAATGCTAGCTACAGTCTCCGCCACGTCGACGGTATGCTGCCGTGGCTTGACCTCACCCCAAATGGACCTGATACCGCCACGTCGCCACAGAGCGCGGAATGGTGCGGCACGGGAAAAATGGTGCCGCGCTCACACTGCCTCCCCCACCTCGCCTCGCCTCTCCTCTTGCTCCACTCGCAAGCACCCAAGCCAAGCCACCTAGCGCTTGAATTTACCCGTCAAGGCATTTCCCTTCCCCAGGCAGTTCCCTTCCCCAGGCTCGACCCCGCTGGCCCAGCGGTCACCGCACTGCCCGGCTCTCACGACCATCGGCCGTCGTCCTCGAGTCGCCCCTCGGTCACCCCTCCCCGTTCCGCACGCGTCGTCTCCCGCTCACCCATGGCGCTCGCCGCTTCGCTCCCTCTGCCTCACACGGCCGCCACCGACGGCCTGTGCCGTGCCCCTGGTACTGCGGCGTCGCGACTAGCGAGCTCGTTTGCCACACCACGCGGCGTCAGGTGCGCCTCTCTCGCGAAATTCACGCAATGATTGCATTTGTTCAAAAACAAATGGGGGAAGAAGGGGGGGAAGGGGAGTGGGTGGGGGGGCGGGGGAGGGGGAGGACAGACGACGGATACATTCTGCCCGTTTGCCGCAGCAACCACAGCCGATGCCCTGGTATAGTCGTACCGCCTACAGTCGTATAGTAATACCGCTCCCCGGTCAATCCTACATATTTCCGCTACACGCGGCCCAACCACCCGAAATTCTGTTTCCCCGCAGCGGAAGAATCGCGCTGCTTCCCCGCGCGGCTTTCCGCGGAATGGGGAGCGGGAAGGGAGCGGCGGAAGGGAGAGAACGGTCCGCTGCAGCGGCGGCAGCAGTGACGAGCGCGGGCGCGGGCGGGGCCGCGGGGGAGGCAGTTGGGGTTAACCGGCGAGCTGTGCTGATCGGGAGCGGGGTGCTGACAGGCGCAGCGTTGTGCTCTCCAGGTACCCTGTGCGGACCGTGCCGAGTCGATTACTGCGATGGAGGAGAGGGTCGTTACGATAGCGAGAAAGATTACTGTAACATGAAGAACTAGGAAGAGCAATGGAGAATGATGGACAAAAATGAAGAATACGGGTGTCGAGGATAGACCCGTCCCTTTCCAACGCCCGTCCTATTCTATACATCCCCCCTCCATTTTCCCCTCATTCTCCTCCTCCTCTCCCTCCCTCCCCCTCCCCCCCCCCCCTCCCTTCCCCCGCGTCCCCCTTCCTCCTGCCCCCCGCATTCGTTGCCTGCACCAGCAGGCCACGTGGCGCGCGCAACTGACGTGGCACCGCAAAGGTGAGGGTGGGAGGACGGGAAAGTGGAGAGACTAGTGTTGCGCGTGACCAGCAATCGTCAATGGCACTCGTCTTCCAGTATCTTCCAGTATCTTTCAGTGTCTTTCTGTGTCTTCTGGCGTCTTCCGTGTCTTTGTGTGCCTTGCGGTGTCCTACCGTGCCTTCTGAATCCGTTCAACGCTACTATGCTCGCCAATTGCCCGCCTCTCTTCCCTTGCCCTCCTCGGAACCTCTATACGTCTTCCCCCTTTCGCCTGCAACTTCCCCCCATCTGCCGCCTGCCCCTGCGCTCTCATCCCTGCCCTCCCTCTCATCCCTGCGCTCTCATCACCCTGCTCTCATCCGTGTTGTCGGTGTTCCCCCCCCCTTCTCCTGTGTGCTCCTCGCAGGTACTTCAAAACGGCCTCCGGTGCCACTGTAGAAGGTACGCTCCCTCTTCCGCATCCCTCGCCTTCCTCCCTTCACCCCTCCCTTTCACTCCCTCCCTGCACCGGTCCTTCGATTCCAAACCTGTTCTCTGGCTCTCTGGTTTCATTACCCTAGCCTCTCATCCCTTCCTGCGCTCCCTCACCCTTCCCCCCCGTGCTCTTTGCTCCTCTCCCTCTGTCTCATCCTCCCCTCGCACTGTATTTCTCTCTCCCGCACACACACTTCCTGCACACACACATACACACACACAGGCACCTATCTCACTCGCACCCCTTCTCCCACTCCCTCTCCCCCAGAGGTGTACGAGGGGCAGGGCGAGGCGGCAGCGGCAGCAGGCGATGCTGTCACGGTGCACTACGTGTGCCGCAGATCCAATGGCTACTTTGTCGCCAGGTGAGTCGCGGGGCGAGTCAGCGAGGGAGTGAGGGAGGGGGTGAGTGGGGAGGAGTCTAGTTTTGAGGCGCCTCAAAACTGGAGTCTAGTTTTGAGGCGCCTCAAAACCAGGTGAGTCGCGGGGCGAGTGAGCGAGGGAGTGAGGGGGGGGGGTTGATTGGGGAGGAGTGAAGGAACGGACGAGGGCGTGAGCAGGCTTACTCAACTGGCGGATGAGTGACTGGCTGTGTGGGTGTGAGTGTGGTGAGCTAGGGTATCTCGATCTGCAGCGTCTAGTCTTGCCATCCTTGCGCCTGCCATCCTACCCCTGTACACTAAACCATCCCACGCTGAACCTCGTACCCCCCTCCCCTCCCTCTACCTCGTTCCTCCAGCACCATTGACCCAGTGGGAGGGGAGGCGGAGCCCATAGACCTGCTGCTGGGGCAAGGGCAGGTGAGCGCCATGGCTTTGCTTGTCCGCGGATAGAGCGCACAGATGACCGTCGTCTTGTGATGCAGTTCAGAGTTTTGAGTTCATCCACAGAGTAGGACACCCACCAAGCGCAGCCCCGTTATCCCTCGCCAGCTTCTCTCAGTCTTCATCGTGCCCCCCTCCCCCTTTCCTCACTTCCTCTCTCTCCCGTTCTCTCTCTCGGCCCGTCTCCTCTATTGCACCAGGTGATCCAGGGCCTGGAGGAGGCCGTGCAAGGGATGAGAGCCGGAGGTAGGTTTTCTGCTGTGCGCACACATGGCAATGCATTGCATTGCGCATATGCAAAAGCACCTGCGTACTTGCTATCATGCTCATGTAGTACTGCGACCATCGCACGAACTCATGCTGCTGGGTGCCCCCATTGCACGTGCACATCACCTACCTGCCATTTGCCTGCATCCAGAATGCACCTGTCTTCCAATTTCCCTCTGTCCTCTCCGCCCACTCCATGTGCTCTCTTGACTCACCACCACTCCCTCCCCTTCCCCTTTCACCACTCCTCCCACAGGCAAGCGCAGAGTGCTCATCCCCCCTGCGCTCGGCTACGTCAGAGCAGACATGCAGCCCCAGCCCAAGGAGGTGGGTGTGTGCACTGCACTGCCTGTGCTGCGCTGCCTGTGCTGCGCTGCCTGTGCTGCTCTGCCTGTGCTGCGCTGCCTGTGCTACACTACCTGTGCTGCGCTGCCTGTGCTGCGCTGCCTGTGCTGCGCTGCCTGTGCTGTGCTGCCTGTGCTGTGCTGCCTGTGCTGCTCTGCCTGTGCTGCTGAGTGCCACTCGGGCTGGCATGCCACTGTTTTTGTTCCTCCTGACCTGCCCTGTAACCTCCACCTCCCGCACTGTCTGGATCTAATTCTTCCCTTCCTCCCCCCCCCCCCCCCCCCCCCCCCCTTAAAAGAACGACCTCTCCCTCCCTCCCACCCCCCCCCCCCCCCCCCCCCCCCTAAAATGTTTCCCTCCGTGGATTGACCCCTTTCAGTACTTTCGGCAGCGTGCGCTTGCAGCACATGTGAAGGAGCCTCTAATATTTGAAGTGCAGGTGGTTAAGCTGAGACCCGGGGCTGCTGCGGCAGCATTGTAGGGCTAGGCATTTGATTTATCGTTGGCTGTCTGTATTGTGATTGTGGGGAGATCAGGAGACGGTGCTCTGATTGCACTCCATAATGTGGCCGTCAAATGAGGCCAGCAAACTGGTATGTTCATTATAAAAGTGCACATTGTTCAAATTATATTTTTATATAATTGTAGGCTTGGTAGTTATGCTACTAACTGCATCCTACTGTAGGGGGGACAACCCCCTTCTTGTACTTCATTCTCTTCTAGTCTACTCCCTCTCTTCTCTCTCGACACACTCGTCCAGCTCCTAGCTAAACCCTTGGCCGCCATTTCATGGCGGCCTCCTCTGTTCTTCCTAGTTCAGACTTTGACATGGTATCGAGAGCGGGATGCCCTTCCTGGGCCTGCTCCCCTCCGTGCTTTCCGCTGCGTTCTCGTGCGTTCGTCGCTCCTGCCGTGCCGCCGTGGCGGCCATGTCGCATGGCTGCCACGTCGAGCAGCCGTGCTGGGCTTGCCGCCCTGACGTGGCGGCTCCGCCGTTCCACCTCCCCGTCGCGCCCCTCCTGGGCCCTGCCGTGCCTCCTACCCACGTCGCGCCCCTCCTGGGCCCTGCCGTGCCTCCTAGCCCAGTCGCGCCCCTCCTGGGCCCTGTATCAGAATAATTGAATAATTGTAAAGTGAGAGTACACACAAATATATCTAAGTTTTGTATCCTCTAAGAGGTGACTCTATACAGTCTATACAAACATGACAAATACACATGTTTGACACACCCCCTAGACTGCATAGGGGAATACCTTAAACAAGCAGCTCAGGGCGGCACTACTAGTCCAACCTCTGAGACAAGGGTTTGAGCGACCGGTCAGAAGGAGTACAGACAAGGCAAGCACAAGAGCAGGGCGGCACTACTAGTCCAGCCACTGGTAGAGGACACAAGTCCAGTCTGAGTATACATATAAAGGACAGTACAAAGTCAAGGTCCTAGCAAGTGAGAGGCTACAGGAACTAGACCAAGCTGTACACAGTGCCACTGATGATCTTTAGGCGCAAGCGCCTTCGTAAAGATATCAGCCGTGTTGGCACCTGAGGCCAAGTGTACTACGCGAGCCTGACGTCGCTGCTGTAGCTCACGCAGGAGGAAGTACCGCAGCTGAATGTGCTTCGCTCTGCCCTCGAGTCGAGGCTCCTGACACAGGAGGATCATGGCCCTGTTGTCAGCGAACAGGACCGGGGCAGAGCTAGGTCGCTCACCTAAGTCAGTGAGCAAGAAGGTCAGCCAGCGGAGCTCCTGTGCCGCCATGGCACCGGCGTAGATCTCAGCCTCACAGCTGGACTGTGCAACAGACGAGGAGCGAGTAGCTCTCCACGAGACGGCACCTGAGCCAAGGCTGAAGCAGTAGCCCTGGGTAGACCGGAGTGTCTCAGCGTCGTCTGCCCATGAAGCGTCTGTGTGCCCAGTAAGGACCGCTGGCCTGCGTCCTCCTAGCACTAACCCCATGCCCGATGTACTAGCAAGATAACGCAGAACCCTCTTAGCGGCAGACCAGTGCTGCGGTCGGTGTCTGCCTGTGGCCACAAAGCGAGCCAGGATGCTGAGAGGGTATGCGAGATCTGGGCGAGTGCAAGTCATCAGGTACATGAGGCAACCCACCAGCTCTGCGTAGGGGCCGCTGGGCTCTACCAACTCCTCAGGCACTGGAGCAAAGAGCATGTGGTCTACAGGCAGAGGGGTGGGCTGTGCAGAGGAGAACTGAAGGCTGAACCTCTGAAGGACCTGGCGCACCAAGTGTGACTGAGTCAGGGTGATGGTGCGCGCAGCTCTGTCCCTGGAGATCTGCAAGCCAAGGTAACGGCGCAGTTCTCCAAGGTCAGTGCAGGTGTGTCTCTTCAGCAGCTCTGCCTTCACGGAGGCCAGCGCGTCCCTGTCTGCTGTGGCAAAGACCAGGTCGTCGACGTAAACGAGGATGTAGAAAGGAGTCTGGCCAGCACGAACGAAGAGTGAAGGGTCTGCAGAAGACGGAAAGAACTGCAGGTCAGCAAGCGTAGCACGCAGAGTGTCGTGCCACTCACGGGGAGCCTGGCGCAGGCCGTAGACGGGGCGCCGCAGGAGCCACTGGGTCCCAGGAGGGAAGGTGCCAGTAAAGCCCGGAGGGCGGCGCAGGTAGACCTGCTCGTGTAGGCTGCCCTGAAGGAAGGCAGTGGAGAAGTCGAGGGAGTGAAGCTCGTAGTCACGCTGAGCAGCTAGGTGTAACAGAACCCGAAGAGTAGTCATCTTCGGGGTCGGAGCGAAAGTCTGGAAGAAGTCCACCCCCTCGCGCTGACTGAAGCCTCTAGCCACATAGCGCGCCTTGAAGACAGGCGGCTCTCCAGGAGGGCGCTTCACCTTGAAGAGCCAGCGGCCATCGACTACGTTCACCCCAGGTGGGGGAACTGCGTCGACGAAGGTGCCGGTGGATCTCCAAGATGCCATCTCCTGCTCCATGGCAGCTATCCACTGCGAGGCCCAGGGTCCCGAAGTCGCCTCAGCGTAAGTGAGAGGGGTCGGGATGTCGAAAGCGTCTGGGTCACCCTCAGGGACTAGCAGCATGGAACAGAGATGGGGAGCAGCCTCGGAGAGGAAAGCAAGCTCGAACTGGCGGTCCTCCAGGACGTCACTGCCAAGGGCAGGAGCACCCCGGACAGACGGAGGACAGGCAGGGTCAGAGACCAGAGCGGTGGCGTAGTCAAGGCGGCGGGTAGAGGCGAAGTCAGCGACAGCAGCGACAAGAGCGTCAAGGCACGAGACTGGAACAGACGGGTCGGTAACGAGAGAGGCAAGGACCCGAGGAACGAGAGGACGAGCGGCACGAAGGTAGTCGGACAGCGGGGGGGGCGCAACAACAAGGGAGGACGGAGGAGGTGACGGCAGAAGGGGAGGACGAGACGCGTGTGAACGAAGCAACATAGGGTGGGAGCGCAGGACAGGCGAGGCAGGACGAGCACGGGAGGGACGGTGAGACCAGACGTGCGATGGAGGAGTCGGGTCAGGAGACAGGGGAGGGGACACAGGAGGGGAACGAGGGGGGAGACGGGCCGGGGACGAGTCCGGCGGAGGGAAAACAGGGCCGTAGACAGGAAGAGGAGGAGACGGTCGGGGAGGAACCGACGCAGGGTCGGGGGACGGCAGGCCGAGCAGGCGAAGGGCGGACACCGGCGGGGACTGCTGCTGCGGCGGCACAACGGCGACACCTGGACCGCAAGCTGCTCCTCGGCTACCACCGGCACTCTCCACACCTGCACCCCCAGAGGGACCACCCTCAGGGCGACCGGGACGAGCACCCCCAGAGTCAGCGAACGGGGGCTGCGACTGCGGCGGCGGCGGCGGTGGCGGCGACGGCGACGGCTGCAGTGGCGGCAGGGACGGCGGATGAGGGGACTGGGGAGGGGACACCTGGGGAGGGGCGGCCGGCGAGGACTGCAGTGGAGGGCCACCAGAGTCAGAAGACTCCTCAACCGGGTCCACGGACGGAAGGGGGGTGACATGGGAGACACCAGAGGGGGCGGGACGGGGAGGAGGAGGAGGAGGGGCAGGGACTACCGGGGAAGGGGTGACCAGGAACAGGGGGGGGGTAACCGGGGGACCACGGTGGGGGAAGCGGCGGTAGTAGGAGACGGACTCGTCAAAGGTGACGTCACGAGAGTGAAAGAAGCGGTGAGACGGCGGGTGGTAAAAGTGCCAGTCGGACGCGTCAAGGGGAAAACCGAGGAAGACGCAGGGAAGGGTGCGGGCAGTGAGCTTGTCCGTGCCGGAGGCACGGACGTGAACAAGGCAGCCCCAGACGTGGAACGCAGACGCGTCACCAGGAGACCCAGTCCACAGACGGGTCGGCGAAACCTGCGGCTGCTGAGGGTGCGGCCACAGGTTAAGCTGGTGAGAAGCGTAGCGCACAGCGAACGGCCACAGAAAATGGGGTGCACCGGCATGGACCATGGAGGTGCGAGCGACCTCCATGACCAAGCCGATGCGTCGCTCAGCGACCCCATTCTGCTGTGGGGAGTCCGGTAGGGTGAACGTCTGGGTGATGCCCTCCGCACGACAAAAGCGACCAAGGACACCTGAGGCAAACTCGCCACCACGGTCTGAGTGAAGACGCAAGACAGGGAGACCGCGGTGGACACGCGCAGAGACAAGCCAGGGGATGAGGGCGCCAGGCACGTCGGCCTTGCGCTCCAGGGGAAAGACTGTGGTGTAACGAGTGAAGTCGTCGACAAGCACAAGGAAGTAGCGCTCGCGACGCGGCCCAGGGACGGGGGCGGGGCCCCAGACGTCCAGGTGCAGGGTCTGCAGCGGCGCGGCGGTAGGGGGGAACGAGGAGGAGTGAGGGGCACGGCGAAGCCGACCCTCGACACAAGGCGTGCAAGGTGGAGCTGGGGAGGAGGGAAACGCGGGGAGTGAACCTGGGAGACCAAGGACAAGACCGTGCTGGGACATGTGACGCAGACGCGGGAGCGCAGGGTGACCTAGGCGGTGGTGCCACAGGAGGGTCGGGTGAGTGAGGGAGCGACAGGAGCAGGCAGCAGCAACCTGGGTAGACACAGCCACCTGAGGGGGCGCTCCAGCCGGGGGGGGCACGGTGTCCAGAGTGAACAGGCCGGACACCGGGTTCCGGGGGAACGTGGACAGGGGGGCACCAGTGGCGGCCTCGGTACAGACAGCATACCGCTCGTGACCAGGGAACGTAGTGGTGACGCCAAGGTCCTGGAGGCAGCCGACACCAACTAGGTTCCTGGAGAACGAGGGGATATGCAGACCTGTAAGAGAGCCCGAAGAAACCGCCGGACAGGGAAGGGTGGTGGAACTGCGGGCGACTACCGGGCCGCCGGAGGGGTCAGCAAGAGAAACGGCAGCAGGAACAGGAAGCGGCGTCAGGGTGGTGGAGTCGCGGAAGAAACACCGAGAGGCGCCAGAGTCCAAGGTGAAGGAAAGCGAAGCCGAGGGGTCTGGCGACGGAACGACGGCAGAAGCACCAAGACTACACAAAGCAGGGGATCCTACGCCTGACGCAGCAGGGGAGGCTAAGCTAGGCACACCTACACTAGGCAACAGTGAGTAATAAGTCGGAAGCACACTAGAGTCATCAGCATACATCACATGCAGAGCAGAAACAATGGCATCCATGTCCATATCAAAGATCTGAATCTGACGACTAAGCAAACTGTGCCAGTCCGGGAGGTCTGGCGACGGGCCGAAACGCTGACGAAAGAGGTCGTCCAGGCGACGAAAGCAGCGGGGAGTGGAGTGACCGATCTTACCGCAAACGAAACCGCGGCGAGGACCGGTCTGGATCTGGTACTGACAACGCCCGCCGGCAGAGCCACCACGCGGCACACCACCACGCGCCCGTCCACCGCCAGCGCCGGGCCACCCTGGCGGGAGAACACTCGTCTGCCGCGTCTGCGACGGCTGCTGCGGCTGCGGCGAAGGCTGCGACTGCGGCGGCTGCTGCGGCTGCTGCAACTGCAGGGGCGGCGACTCAGCTGGACTGGGCAGGGTCCCCTCGTCCGCTCCAGCACCAGGCGACCCGACCCCACCACTACCCCCGCCCGCACCCCCGCCGCCCCCTCCGCCGCGCCCAGCCTTGGGGCGGCGGCCCTTCCCAGAACGGGCCTGCGCTGCAGCAGCAGTCTCAGCCACTGCGGCAGAGCCGTCGGAGAAGGTACACTGAGCGGGGGCACAACCCTGAAAGATAGGGACCGGCACGACACCGCTCGCCTGGGCGATGGAGCGGTGACGGGTCTCTATCACAGTCAGGGTGTCGACAAAGTCAGTGAGGGTGAGGTCTGCGGGGTGAACACTAAGAAAGCGGTCGCGGGCGACAGCAAGGCGGTCAGGGAGGCGGGTGGCAAGCAGGTAGAGGGTAGAGGTAATGGGCGGCTGGTGGGCTCTAAGCTGTGCGTCAGTGCATGCGGCGCGCCAGGTCTCCTCTATCGAGCGCAGGTGGGCAGCGAGGTCAGAGACAGTGGGGAACGAAGCAAGGTCAGGAAAGAGCAGCGGGAGGATCAGGCGACCCACCGAGGCAGCCGGAGGGGTGGAATAGCGCTTGATGACAGCATCTAAGTATGCCTGAGCAGTAGTGAGGGACCTAAAGCGAGGACGCTCGGACGGGGGGAGGGCGTTGCTAATGGCAAGCTGGGCGACAGCATCGCGAGAAAGCCAGACAGAGCGCGCACGGGCAGTGGCAGCAGTAGACTCACGCTCAGTGGGTGTGGGGTCAGCGGGCAGAATAGCAGGAGGGTCTGGGCAGGGGAGCGTACCGTCAAGGTGTGCGGAAAGCGGTTCACCATCCTGCCGCTGGCCAGTGAGTTGGCGGCGGAGGTCGGCAAGCCACGCCTCGAACTCTAGGGGCTGACCTTCAGCGTCGAAGCGAAGCTCCGCCGCCATCAGGAACAGTCCAGTGCTGTGCAGGGCGGTGCAGCTAGGTGGGGTGCGGTGCAGTGCGATACAGTGCGGTGCAGTGCGGTGCAGTGCGGTACTGTGCGGTACAGTGCGGTGCAGTGCGGTGCAGTGCGGTGCAGTGCGGTACAGTGCGGTGCAGTGCGGTGCAGTGCGGTGCAGGGCGGCACGGAGCAGGGCGGGGTGGGGGGGGGGGGGGGGGGGGGGGGAGGGGACCGTACCAGTGAGGAGGACGGGGCCGGGGCTGGCCCGACGGGGCCGGGCGGGCGCGACGGGGCCGGGCTGATGCGACAGGGCCGGGACGGGGCGACGGGGCCGAGCGGGCGCGACGGGGCCGGGCTAGGGCGACGGGCCGGGCGAGTGCGGCAGGGCCGGGTCGGTGCGACGGGGCCGGGCGAGCGGGACGGCGGCCGGGCTGGTGCGACGGGGCCGGGCGGCTGTGACGGGGCCGGGCAGGGTGCGACGGGGCCGGGCGGGTGCGACGGGGCCGGGCGGCTGCGACGGGGCCGGGCGAGCGCGACGGGCCGGGCAGGGTGCGACGGCGCCGGGCGGGCGCGACGGGGCCGGGCGGCGGCGACGGCGCCGGGCGGGCGCGACGGGCCGGGCGGCGGCGACGGGGTCGGGCGGGCGCGACGGCGCCGGGCGGGCACGACGGGGCCGAGCGGCGGCGACGGGTACGACGCGGCCGAGGAGGGGCGCTACGGGGCCCAGGAGGGGCACGACGGGGGGCCCAGGAGAGGCGCTACGAAGCCCAGGAGGGGCGCGACGAGGCCCAGGAGGGGCGCTACGGGGCCTGGGAGGGGCGCGACGGGGCCTGGGAGGGGCGCGACGGGGCCCAGGAGGGGCGCTACAGGGCCCAAGGAGGGCGCGACGGGGCCCAGGAGGGGCGCTACGGGGCCCAGGAGGGGCGCGACGGGGCCTAGGAGGGGCGCCACGGAGCCCAGGAGGGGCGCGAAAGAGGCCAGGAGGGGCGCTACGAGGCCTGGGAGGAGCGCGACGGGGCCCAGGAGGGGCGCTAGGGGGCCTGGGAGGAGCGCGACGGGGCCTGGGAGGGGCGCGACGGGGCCTGGGAGGGCGTTACAGGGCCCAGAAGGGGCGCTACGAAGCCCAGGAGGGGGCGCGACGAGGCCCAGGAGGGGCGCTACGGGGCCCAGGAGGGGCGCGACGGGGCGCTACGGGACCTGGGAGGAGCGCGACGGGGCCCAGGAGGGGCGCTAGTGGGCCTGGGAGGAGCGCGACGGGGCCTGGGAGGGGCGCGACGGGGCCTGGCAGGGGCGCTACGAATCCCAGAAGGGGCGCGACGGGGCCTGGCAGGGGCGCTACGAAGCCCAGGAGGGGCGCTACGGGGCCTGGGAGGAGCGCGATGGGGCCCAGGAGGGGCGCTAGGGGGCCTGGGAGGAGCGCGACGGGGCCTGGGAGGAGCGCGACGGGGCCCAGGAGGGGCGCTAGGGGGCATGAGCGGAAGCGGTAGGTGGGGGGGGGGGATCCTACCTACGCGTGATACCATATCAGAATAATTGAATAATTGTAAAGTGAGAGTACACACAAATATATCTAAGTTTTGTATCCTCTAAGAGGTGACTCTATACAGTCTATACAAACATGACAAATACACATGTTTGACACCCTGCCGTGCCTCCTAGCCCAGTCGCGCCCCTCCTGGGCCCTGTCCCGCCTGCTCCTCCCTCCAATAAGCGCCGCGCCTATGGCGCCGCGCTGAAGTCCTGCAGCCCCACCACAGCAGCCCCACCACCTCTCCCTCCCCTGCATCTCCTCCTGCTCCTGCCGTAGCTGCTGTCTTCGGCCCGATCGTCGCCAGCCCGTGCCACACCGCCGAGAGCCCTCAGCCGCCGCAGTCGCCGCCTGTCCTCATCGACACAGCCGCCTTGAGCACGAGCTCCGCCGCTGTCGTCATTGAGGCCGCCCAGATGCGGCCAGCTGCCTCTCGACCGGGGGTGTCATAGCCTAGCACGAGGGGTCGATACCCGGCTGCTCACGAGAATGAGGGTGTCCGGGGTTAGGGTGTGTGTGTGTGGGTTGTGTGGGTTTGCCACTACCAAGCCTAGGGGGTGTGTTCAAATTATATTTTTATATAATTGTAGGCTTGGTAGTTATGCTACTAACTGCATCCTACTGTAGGGGGGACAACCCCCTTCTTGTACTTCATTCTCTTCTAGTCTACTCCCTCTCTTCTCTCTCGACACACTCGTCCAGCTCCTAGCTAAACCCTTGGCCGCCATTTCATGGCGGCCTCCTCTGTTCTTCCTAGTTCAGACTTTGACACACCTCTCATATATAGCAGGGGATCTAACCATAATATCAGAAGTTAGCTTATCACCCAACATCAAAACCCAAGTCGCAATGCAATATATTTCAGAAGTCGTGTGCAATAAAATGTTTTAAGTTAACAAGTATATCTACTAGAACAGACTGTACATGTCTCGCTACATAACAAATCTAGAACAGGTTAAAAGTTCTCCACAAAATAACCAGCGTATTCTGCCTACCTTTCACCTCCATAATGTATACACCAATTCTTTACACAGCAGAGAACGCCCCGTTGCTAGCAGCAGCACCATTATTAGCTGCCTCATTAGTAGCAGCACCGCATTGAACAGCATCAACGTCTTCTGCATCACTACACGAGGGCAGGAAGCCGTGGTGCTCCAGGTACAGAATAAGCCTCGCAGCCATGGCTTCCGGTGACTGCATGGCGCCCTCATCCCCTGCCACCTCCATCACCACCTCCGCTGCTGTGGGCTCCTCATAAGGGTCGTCAATGCCTGCACAGGTACACGGAATATAGGGGGGTGGGATGGGGTGGCGTGGGGTGGGGTGGGTGGGAGAGGGAGGGATGGGGGAAGAGGGGAGTGGGTGAATGAGCAGGGGAATCAGCGAGTGGGTAAGTAGGAAGAGCTTCAAAGCACGAGCACAGCTGCCAAGCGCTCATCACCAGCCACCAACCAGTCCTCCCAATACTCTTCCCTGCAACACCTCGACCCAGTGAGCAGTAACCCCCCCCCCCCGCCCCCCACCCGCCCCCCCCCCACCAACCTACCCGTACCCATCCCGCATTCCTGGTAAACGATATAAGCTCACCCGTGAAGCCTTTAATGATGCCGGCCCTGGCCTTCTTGTAGAGGCCCTTGGGGTCGCGGTGCTCGCACACGGCCAGGGGGATCTTCATAAACACCTCGATGAACGTCCCGGGCTCCAGCAACGCACGTGCCGCAGCCCGGTCCTTGCTGCAAGAGGGCAGAGGAGGATTGGGAGCAGCGAGGGGTAAGACGGGAGGCGAGAGAAGGGGAGAGAGAGTTTGTTACAAAAACGCGGGGGAGGGAGGGACGGTGAGAGATTGTACCTGTCTGGGAGGAGCAATGTGGGTGTACGCGTTAATGAAGGGTGGGTGACGGGATGGATACTGGAGACACGGGGGATACAGAGAAAGGGGAGAGAAGGGTTGACGCAAGCAAAGGCTGTGTTGTACCTGTAGGGCGAGATGAAGCTGACGATGGTGATCACCCCTGAGTCAGCGAACAGCTTTGCCACCTCAGCTACTCTCCTGATGTTCTCCTCTCTATCCGCAGCACTGCACAGCACGCGGCGAAACACACCAGCCGCACGGGAAAAACGCACAGGACGAGTAAATCTCGAGCCCACACCCTTCATTGCGTGCTCACCAGGATATTCACGGATACCCTAAAAGATGACCCGGATTCAGCTACATATTTCTCAATTCGGAGCCAAGCGAGCCTGCATAAGCGACAACGCGAACGCGCGGAGCGGTACCTGAATCCGAGGTTCTTATTGAGCCCGTGGCGGATGTTATCGCCGTCGAGCACCACGGCCATGCGGCGTCGCTCCATCAGCGCGTGCTCCAGCGTGTACGCCAGCGTGCTCTTGCCCGCGCCGCTCAGCCCCGTCATCCAGATCACGCACCCGCGCTGCCCTAGCAGCCGTTGCCTGCGGGCGATCGGGTCGGCACAGGGATATTGGATCGTTGGTGCACAAGACGCCACGACAGGAGGTGACCGTGACAGCCGAGCGAAGGATGCGAGAATTAGTGAAAAAGAGTGCGAGTCGCGTCACTTACCGCTCCTCCTTGTCAACTTTTGTCTCGTGCCACTTAATATTCGTCGAGCTCCCGACTGTGTAGACTTCGGGCGCTTCGCCTGCTGCCGCCATCGTCACTTCCGTACCGTCTCCAGCAGGTGGCGCCATCGCAACGGCCAACAGGTCTTGATCGGGCGACAGCGTCACTATGCTGCGCGTTCTCAACGGTAACGTCGAGCCAAGCGAAAGAAGCTCGGACTCTTCAGACAGCACGGACACGACGGACGGACCACGAGAACCTAAGCGCGGAAGCCGCTTTGCTTGCAAGAAGGCGGACCTTCCTAAATGGCGTTGAAGCAGCTCAGAATTCGCCTTGAAACCAGTGTCAGTCAGTGAAGCGGTTGAGCACGAAGCAAGTTTCTCATGGACTGCCTGATTTCGCCTCAGGGATGCTTGTGGGGGTCCGGGGACTGTGAGGCAGCTCAGATTGTGCAGCTGCTGGAGGTTTGCATGACACGAAAACATTGGAGCGAAGGGTAGTCTCGGGCAGGTAACCGAGGAATGGAGCGGTTGCACTGAGGTGGAACGGATCGGCGGTGGAAAAACGACCAGGTGGAGAAGGCAGCTGAGTTCGACCGTTGGATGCTCTAGAGGCCCGAAGTAGCTGCGTTGGGGAAAACCTACGAGTTTCCTAACCTGCCCGCTTTCGGGAAGGAAAGCTGAGGTGCGGTGTGGGCGTGCCCAATGCAGAAAATGTGATTTGGGTGGAGGCTTTATGCAGGAAACTTTGCACGGAGCTGTACCCAAAGGGCTTCAATTCGAGGACCCCCACCAGAAAAATATAGTCGCGGCCCGGACCTTTCCAGATTCCGAGGACTCTGGCCACAGCGATTCGTCGCTGAAAGGAATGCAGCGGATCGGGACATTACCATATCGTTCCGTGAACTTCCAGCTGCCCCCCACAACCTAGAACCTCGAAGGTGACTTCTTACACCTCACATGCGTTAATGAGTCCTCGAAACTGTATATCTCCGTTGTTGTACGTCTCCGCTTATAGGGACCCGGATTTCTAGTTGTGCACCAGGGCCCAAAATTGGTTTAGAGGCACCCTTGGGAATCAGGGTACTGCTACAGAATTACCCTGCCTCCTAGGGTGGAATTTTCAGCACCCTTTGAAAATCAGGGTGAATTCATAAAAATAGTCCATACCTTGTTTGAGTCAAGGTACTAATGCCATCACCCTATCCCTGTCAGCTTCTACAATTTCAGCTTCTTACCGTATTAGCAAGCATACAAGCAGGATCACTATAGTAAAGCATCAACAGCCTCTCCTACTTCAGCTATTTCTGCTAGCATTGCACCACTGCACAGATACCGCAACAGTGGCGGGGGCAGTTACCCCTACAGTGCTCCTTCCTTCCACGGATGGAGCTGCTGCTGGAGGTGCTGAAGGGGAAGAAACACGGGGGAAAGCACCGGTAATGCGCGGGGGGAGTAGCGAGAATCTAACAGAGCAGCAGGAGACTAAGGGCATATTCGTGAGTTTAGACTGCTCATTCCGCTCACGAATACGCCCTTACACCCTTAGTGTAAACTCGCATGCATCGCGAGAGACTAAGGGCGTATTCGTGAGTTAGCATCAGAAACGAAATCAGAATCAAAGTCGTGCAAAACCAAACCGAACCTCATTAGACTGCTCATTTTGCTCTTGCATCTCAGTGTACCGTGCAAGTCTGAATTCGATTCTGGTTCTGATGCTATCTTAGGAATACGCCTTGAGGGAGCAGCGAGAGACTACGGGAGCAGCGAGATACTAAGGGAGCAGCGAGAGACCAAGGGAGGAGCGAGAGACTAAGAGAGCAGCGAGAGACTAAGGGAGCAGCGAGAGATTACGGGAGCAGCGAGAGACTACGGGAGCAGCGAGAGACTAAGGCAAGGAGGAACAGAGAGACAAACAAGGTTGGGGGGAACGAGCGAGAGACGAAGGCAGGGAACACAGACACTAGGGGAGGGAGCACCCAAAACGAGAATTTGTTGGTGGGCGGGGCTGCCTGCCTGCGTGGCAGATTCGACAGTTGGCGTATTTCGAGGGTTGGGAGTTATCTGTTTCAGGGTTTTTTTTACGCACACTGACTGGTCAGGGTAATAAAACGAACACTCTTACTACAACAGTGTAAAATATTCCTTACACTTTTTGAAAAGGGGTTAGAGAAAATTTGGCCTTACAAGATCAGGGTAATCTTGAAAAAGCGGCCGTTGGCAAGGGTAATCAGGGTGAAACACCCTTCAAATTTGCACCCATTCTAATATGCAACCAATGAAACCTTTATGAGAAACACTTAAAAACTGCTGCTTGTCGGTGTCATAGCCAATTACTTCTAACAAATACTTGCCGCTAGCCATAGTATAAGAGGGGCAGACCATATATACCAATGCGAGAGGCAAAGCAAGAGGTATTGAGAACGTTTGTCAAACATCGTACAATATTACACTGGAATCATTTGAATGAAGAGTGGGTACTGGCGTAGCAGGAGTCACTAGTGCAGCAGTCGGAGCCATAGCTTCAGTAGAGGCGTTGCTAGGCTTGTGCCGGATCATGGCATTCCTAGGGTCTGTTGCAGGGCCTCATATAGGATTTTAGGCATCCTGACCGATCAGGGCGGGCCCCCAAAAAAACGTGTAGCAGTCAGGGTTGGTGGCGTAGGTTCATACTGATTCCTCAGGGTGGTTCTCAAGTTCTATACTTAGGCCTCAGGGTAAATTCTGAAACACTTGAAATCTTGTGAAGTCAGTTTAAATAGCACCAGCAGCACACTTGGTTTTACGCGTTGCGATGGGTTGAGGACTTGGCCACGACTGGCTGAGTTTGCGTGAACTATAGCGCACGGGGCAATCAGACCAGGAATTTTTCTTGGTCTGACTGTCAGACCGAATTTTGCTGAGAACGAATGGGCATTCAATTGAAAACGAATGCAGCCCCTAAAAAATCTGAAGAAGTCAGAGGCAAGAAACGAAAAGTTTTGTGAAAAAAACTACAGTTAGATTTCCATCAAGCGGTTATGACGGTCAGTTTGACGAGGTTGGGTGGTGGTGAGGGCGTATTCCTTACATGTGGCACACTCTATGGCAATCTTGACCGTGGAAAAAAACTCATAAAAGCTAGCCACGAAGTACAAACGTGAGGAATAATCCCTGAGTTGCAGTACTTGACGAGATTTTGATTCGACGTAACCTGGGCATCACGAATTCTATGAAGACTACCGGTAAGTCGGAATTTTAGGGCTGCATAGAAGTTGTAAAAGTATGTCTCTGGCAGGGAGAACTTAGCCGAAAAGTTTTAGTGGGTGGGGGGTGGGGCGGGGGGAGGGTTGTCTCTAGCATTGAGGACTAATGCAAAAATTTCAGATTAGCGGAGACTTTTTGGAGGACTGTCTCTAGCATTTAGGACTTCGCCGAAATTTGAGAGGAGCGGGGGGGTTTCCTAGGATTGTCTCCAATTTTTAGGACTTAGCCAAATTTTTGGAGAAGTGGGGGGTTTCGGAGCAGGGCTCAAAATTGGTTTAGAGGCACCCTTGGGAATCAGGGTACCACTACAGATTTACCCTGCCTCCTAGGGTGGAATTTTCAGCACCCTTTGAAAATCAGGGTGAATTCGTAAAAAAAAATTCAATACCCTGTTTGAGTCAGGATACTAATGTCATCACCCTGTCCATTGCACAGTTAACAGCGTCTACAATTTCAGCTTCTTAGTAGTGAGCATACAAGCGGGATCACTACAGTAAAGCATCAACAGCCTCCCGCCAGCATTGCACCACTGCAGAGCGGCGGGGGCAGTAACAGCTACAGTGTTCCTTCCTTCCGCGGATGGAGCTGCTGCTGGAGGTGCTGAAGGGGAGGAAACATGGGGGAAAGGACATGGTGATGCGCGAAGGGAGTAGCGAGACACTAGCAGAGTAGCGAAAGAATAACAAAACAGCGGGAGAGTAAAAGCATATTCGTGAGTTTAGACTGTTCATTCCGCTCACGAATACGCCTTTACACCCTTAGTTTAAACTCGCATGCATCGCGAGAGACTAAGGGCGTATTCGTAAGTTAGCATCAGAAACGAAATCAGAATCAAAGTCGTGCAAAACCGAACCGAACCTCATTAGACTGCTCATTTCGCTCTAGCACCACACAGTACCGTGCAAGTCTGAATTCGATTCTGGTTCTGATGCTACCTCAGGGATACACCTTGAGGGAGCAGCGAGAGACTGCGGGAGTAGGGAGATGCTAAAGGAGTAGCGAGAGACTAAGGGAGGAGCGAGAGACTAAGGGAGTAGTGAGAGAATAAGGGAGCAGCGAGAGACTAGTAAGGGAGTAGCGAGAGACTAAGGGAGCAGCGAGAGACTACAGGAGCAGCGAGAGACTACGGGAGCAGCGAGAGACTACGGAACCAGCGAGAGACTACGGGACGGGAGCAGCGAGAGACTAAGGCAGGGAGGAACAGAGAGGCAAACAATGTTGGGGGGAACAAGCAAGAGAGACGAAGGCAAGGAACAGAGACACTAGGGGAGGGAGCAGCCAAAACGAGAATTTGTTAGTGGGGGGGGCTGCCTGACTGCGTGACATATTCGACAGTTGACGTATTACGAGGGTTAGGAGTAATCTGTTTCAGGGTGTTTTTTGGCACACCGTGACTGGTCAGGGTAATAAGACAAACACTCTTACTACATAAGGGTAAAATATTCCTTACACATTTTGAGAAAGGGTCAGAGAAAATTTGGCCTTTCAAAATCAGGGTAATCCTGAAAAAGCGGCCGCTTGCAAGGGTAATCAGGGTGAAACACCCTTCAAATTTGAGCCCTGTTTCGGAGGATTGTTGCTAACTTTGAAAACTTAGCCGAAATGTGAGATTCTAGGCAAGGGCTACCCCGTCAAACATAGCTTATGCAGTTGCTGTAGACTATATATGTTTGTGCCTTAGTGGGTACAACTCTCTAGACTATATTGCCTTGTATCTCACCACTCTAGTCAATTACTCTTTCTCTTATGGTATCATAGTAGGTTAGGTTCCCCCCTAGCCCGCCCACGCTTCCGCCCCCTAGGCCCTAGCCGGCCCCCTGGCCGTCGCGCTCGTCCCTAGCCGGCCCCCTGGCCGTCGCGCTCGTCCCTAGCCGCCCCCCTGGCCGTCGCGCTCGTCCCTAGACGGCCCCCTGGCCGTCGCGTCCGCCCCTAGCCGGCCCCCTGGCCATCGCGCTTGTCCCTACCAAGCCCCCTGGCCGTCACGTTCGTCCCTAGCTGGCCCCCTGGCCGTCGTGCCCGTCCCTAGTTGGCCCCTTGGCCGTCGCACTCCTCCCTAGCCGGCCCCCTGGCTGTCGCGCTTGTCCCTAGCCGGCCCCGTGGGCGTCCCGTCCGCCCCTAGCCGCCCCCCTGGACGTCGCGTCCGCCCCTAGCCGGCCCCCTGGCCGTCGCGCTCATCCCTACCAGGCCCCCTGGCCGTCGCGCTCATCCCTAGCCGGCCCCCTAGCCGTCGCGTCCGCCCCTAGCCGGCCCCCTGGCCGTTGCGTCCGCCCCTAGCCGGCCCCCTGGCCATCGCACCCGTCCCTAGCCGGCCCCCTGGCCGTCGCGCTCGTCCCTAGCCGCCCCCCTGGCCATCGCATCCGTCCCTGGCCGTCGCATCCGCCCCTAGCTGGCCCCCTGGCCGTCATGCCCGTCTCTAGCCGGCCCCCTGCCCGTCGCGGCCGCCCCTAGCCGCTGTCGCTGCCGTCTCCAGCCGCCTCACGGTCACTCCTGCCGTTGCGGCCGTGTCTCCTCGCCGTCGTGGCCGGCCCTACTCGCCGTCGCGCCAGCTTCTCGCCGACCCCCGTTGCCGTCGTTTGCTGGCCCCCCGCATCTGCCGTCCGCCGGCCGGCTCCTGCATTCGCGTCGTCGCCAGCCCGCCGCCGCCTCAGGTTCGGCCCGTTCTTCTGGATCAGCACCGCCCTGCGAACCCCCCCTCCCCGGTACCATACTCAACCGCACTACACCGCACTGCACCGCACTGCACCACACTGCACCGTACTGTACCGCACAGCACCATCCTGCACCGCACTGCACGGTCCGTGCCGTACTGCACCGCACTGTACTGCCCTCTATTGTCACTGATGGCGGAGGTGCTTCGCTTTGACGCTGAGGGCCAGCCGATTGAGTTTGATGCGTGGCTTGCTGACCTTGGTCGCCACCTTACTGGTCAGCGGCAGGATGGCCACTCTCTGTCTGTCCATCTTGACGGTACCCTCCCCTGCCCTGACCCCCCCGCTGCACTGTCTCCTGACCCCTCGTCTGCTGAGCGTGAGTCCGCTGCGGCCGCTGCCCTTTCTCGCTCTGTCTGGCTGTCCCGTGACGCTGTCGCACAGCTTGCTAATAGTAATGCCCTCCCCCTATCTGAGCGACCTCGCTTCATGTCTATCACTACTGCCCAGGCTTTCCTAGATGCTGTTTTCCAGCGCTATTCCATCCCGCCTGCTGCCTCGGTAGGTCGCCTGATCCTCCCCATGCTCTTCCCTGACCTTGCGTCGTTCCCCACTGCCGCTGACCTGGCCGCCCACCTGCGCACTATAGACGAGACCTGGCACGCTGCCTGCACCGACACACAGCTTCGCGCTCACCAGCTGCCCCTCTGCTCTGCTCTCTACCTGTTGGCTACCCGCCTTGGCACTGCCCTCGACCGCTTCCTTAGCGTCCACCCCGGAGACCTCACCCTTACTGACTTTGTTGACTCCCTGTCCGTTATAGAGGCCCGCCACCGCTCTATTGCCCAGACTAGAGGTACTGTGTCAGTCCCTATCTTTCAAGGTTGCGCCCCCGCTCAGTGCACCTTCTCCGACGGCTGTGCTGCTGTGGCTGAGACTGCTGCTGCAGCACAGGTCCGTCTGGGGAAGGGTCGCCGCCCCAAGGCGGGGTGTGACGGCGGGGTTGGGGATGCAGGTGTAGGTGATGCGGGAGCTGGGTCCCCTGGTAGTGGTGTGGACGAGGGGACCCTGACAGGTGCAGCCGAGCAGCCGTCTCAGCAGCCGCCGGTATTGCTGCCGGACCCACGTCAGTCGCACAAGTCGCAGCAGCAGCAGCAGTCGCACCAGCAGCCGAGACGGGCGAGTGGTCTCCCGCCCGGGTGGCCTGGCGCTCGTGGTAGCGCTGGACGTGGTGGTGGTGCGCGTGATGGACTGCCAGGTAGTGGTTCGGATCCCGCGCGCTGTCAGTACCTGCTCCAGACCGGTCCTCGTCGTGGCTACGTTTGCGGTAAGATCGGCCACACCTCTGACCGCTGATTCCGTCGCCTGAACGACCTGTTTCGTCAGCGCTTCGGCCCGTCGCCCGAGCTCCCAGTCTGGCACAGTTTGCTTCGTCGTAGGATTCAGATTTTTTATCTGGATATGGATGAGATTGTTACTGCTCTGCGCGTTATGTATGCTGATGACTCTAGTGTGCTTCCGTCTTATTACCCCTTGTTGCCTAGTGTAGGTGTGCCTTTGGTTAGACTCCCCTGCTGCGTCAGGCGTAGGATCCCCTACTTTGTTTAGCCTTGGTGCTTCCATCGCTGCTTCGCCTCCGGCGGCCACTGCCGCGCTCTCCTTCACCTTCGACTCTGGCGCTTCACGGTGCTTCTTCCGCGAATCCACCACGTTGATACCGCTTCCTGTCCTTGCCGCAGTCTCTCTTGCTGACCCCTCCTCCGGCCCAGTAGTCGCTCGCAGTTCTTCAACCCTCCCTTGCCCGGCGGTTCCTTTGGGCTCGCTCACAGGACTGCACATCCCCTCGTTCTCCAGGAACCTAGTTGGTGTCGGCTGCCTTCAGGACCTTGGTGTCACCACTACGTTCCCTGGACACAAGCGGTATGCTGTCTGTACCGAGGCCGCCACTGGTGCCCCCTTGTCCACGTTCCCACGGGACCCGGTGTCCGGTCATTTCACACTGGACACGGTGACCCCCCCGGCTGGGACCCCCCTTCAGGTGACTGCGTCTCCCCCGGTTGCTGTTGCCTGCTCCTGCGTCACCCGACTCTTCTCTGGCACCACCGCCTAGGTCACCCTGCGCTCCCACGTCTGCGTCACATGTCACGATCTCGTCCAAGGCCTCCCCGGGTCGTTCCCCGAGTTTCCCTCCTCCCCAGCCCCACCTTGCACGCCCTGTGTCGAGGGCCGGCACAGCCGTGCTCCTCACTCCTCCTTGTTTCCCCCTACTGCAGCACCGCTACAGACTCTGCACATGGACGTCTGCGGCCCAGCCCCCGCCATGGGCCGCGTCGAGAGCGCTACTTCCTAGTGCTTGTCGACGACTACACGCGCTACACCACGGTGTTCCCCCTGAAGCGGAAGGCCGACGTGCCTGCCGTTCTTATCCCGTGGCTTGTCTCTGCGCGTGTCCACCGCGGTCTCCCTGTCTTGCGTCTCCACTCCGGCCGTGGTGGCGAGTTTGCCTCTGGTGTCCTTAGGGTTTAGGGTTTAGGGTTTCGGGTTTAGGGTTTCGGGTTTAGGGCAGGGTTTAGGGTCCTTGGTCGTTTCTGTCGTGCGGAGGGCATCACCCAGACGTTCACCTTGGCGGACTCCCTACAGCAGAATGGGGTCGCTGAGCGACGCATCCGTTTGGTCATGAAGGTGGCTTGCACCTCCACGATCCATGCCGGGGCACCCCATTTTCTGTGGCCGTTCGCCCTACGCTACGCTGCTCACCAGCTTAACCTATGGCCGCACCCTCAGCAGCCTCAGGTTTCGCCGACCCTTCTCTGGTCTGGGTCACCTGGTGACGCGTCTGCATTCCGCGTCTGGGGCTGCCTTGCTCACGTTCGTGCCTCTGGCACGGACAAGCTCACTGCCCGCACCCTTCCCTGTGTCTTCCTCGGCTTCCCCATTGACGCGTCTGACAGGCACTTCTACCACCCGCCGTCTCACCGATTCTTTCACTCCCGTCACGTCGCCTTTGACGAGTCTGTCTCCTTCTTCCGCCGCTTCCCCCACCGAGGTATCCCTGTTACCCCCCCCTCCTGTTCATGGTCACCCCTTCCCCGGTCGTCGTCGCCCCTCCTCCTCCCCCTACCCGTCCTGCCCCCTCTGGTGTGTCCCACGTTACCCCACTTACGTCGGTTGTCCCGGTTGAGGAGTCTGCTGACTCCGGTGGTCCTGCGGTACAGTTGTCGCTGCCTGCCCCTTCTCAGGTGTCTCCTCCTCCGCCGCCTCCGCAGCTGCCATCGCCACTGCTGTCGCAGCTGTCGTCACTGCCGCCACTGCCGCCACAGCCGTCGCCGCCGCAGTTCGTTGCCTCTGGGGGTGCTAGAGTTCGGGTGGGTACTAGTCCTGGGACTCCTGTCGTGGCTTGTCCCGGCGGGCCTGGGGGTGGTACCGGTGCTCGAGGGGTTCTCAGCTCTGGGAGTGTTCCTTCTGGGGATGCTGGCGTGGAGTGTTCTGGAGGTAGCCGCCATGCAGCTTGCGGTCCCGGACTCGGTGTCACACCGCCGCCGCAGCAGTCCCCCTTGCCTCTCTCGTTACCGACCCGCCTGTTCCGGTTTCGAGCCTTGACGCCCTTGTCACTGCGGCCGCTGACTTCGCCTCTGTGAGAGTACGACCCCGTTACACCACTTGTCCCTTTTCTTATTTCCTTCCTCTTTCATTTCTCTTTTTATCTCATCTCATTTGGTTTCCTATTCTCCATTTTCCATTAACCTTTGGTTTATCCTGCTATTATAGTTATATCACCGACCAGGCTTGGGATGTAATGGTGCGCTATCTGGCGTAATCCTGCCGTAATCCCTAAAAGCCAATAGCCTCGCGTGGCTATACGCAGGGTGATTCTATCTTCTAGAAGGGTCTATTCCCTTAGGATAAGATAAACCTGGTTACCTGATGTACTTTTGAAGTATAAAAGCGCCTTGTACTGATCAATAGTGGAACCTTTCCTCGACACATTCAATCCTGTGACACTTGGTAATCAGAGCTTTTCTCACTCGACCGCGCTCAGCTAAGCAGCAGCAGCCGGGATCCTGCCTCGAAAAACCGTCGGGGGCGACCAATTCGACGCCGATTCTTGTAAGCACCAGCTTCGCGTTTTTTCGAATTACCCCCTTTGTGCGTGTTTTTGAACAGGATGGCGAACCTCGACAACGCCGAGGTTACCCAGCAGCTCTTCGCGCGCATCGCAGCCCTTTAGGAGGAGATGCGAGCGGATCGCGAAGCATGGCGAAACGAGTTCGAGCGAGTAACTCGACGCGCCGGAGCGCAACATGAAACGACAATGGCGACGACGCAGCAGTCGCAACAGTTTCTCGAGGCTCCGAAACCGCGCCCACCTGAGCCGTTCGATCCGAGCGATCGAAACTCCGACGTCCGCAGATGGATCGCCGGGATGGAGATCTACTTCGCAGCCGTCCGATGGAGCTCGCCAGTCTGGGACGGTCAACGCGTACGACTCGCGGCGACACTGATGCGAGGGCCGACACTCGAGTGGATTGGCGGCAACAGTACTTTCATCCACGGTGAAGCCACGTGGCAGCAGTTCCGCGCCGACCTGCTGAAACGATTTGAGCCGATAAATTCAAGTTTCCTTGCCCGGGAAAAAATTCATCGACACCGACAGTTCGGGAGTGTAGCGCAGTACACGCAGCAGATGGAGGAATTTTATAACCGCATTCCCGATCTGACCGAAGGGGAAAAAGTACAGTCGTACCTCGCCGGGCTGAAGACCGAAGTCAAACGACAGGTGGCAGCGTCAAACTACGCGAGCTACAGTGACGTCGTATCGGCCGCGGAGCGCTTCGACATGGTCAACGCCGGAACACGACGGACGCACGTCGGCAGTACGCGACAGGGCGACCGCTCGGCTCACCCCACGTTCGCCGACCCGATGGAAGTCGACAGGTTCGAGGGGCGGCCACGTCCGAAAAACACCAACTACACGTGTGATTTTTGCGGGGTGCCGGGTCATCGAATCTTCGACTGCAACAAAATGAAAACCGCACGTGCAGAGTATCGGGGACGCAACAGTGGCGGAATTCCTTTGGCCAATCAGAAGCCAAAAAACGGGAGTCGCCAGTGATTGCGGATCTAGCAAGCGAAAATAAAAAGGTCCAGAAGCGGCCGCGGGATTCCAAGAAAATCAACTTCGACGAAGCTGATTCGACGCGAGAAGGAGGAAATGATGGGGGAAAATCTCCACCCTACGACCAGTCTTCGCCAGGGAAAATCGCCGAGGAAAAATACGACTCCGCGAAAAAAGACTCTGCCGAGACAGGGAAACTCCTTGAAGACCCAAGAAATTATAAGGATTCGTTAAAGTTATCTTACAAAGATGCTTTAATGAAAACTTATGATTTTCGAGGAACTAGAGCCTTGGAGAAATTTTGGGAGGGACTCCAAAAGAAGCAGACAACTGTGGAGATTATACCGGTACCAGACAACTTGGGGACCAAATTAAGGAGTGTGGAAAGAAGCCGACCTTTCCACGGAGTCAACGTCCTCTCCCAACACCAGCCCACAACGACCACCCGTTCCCCAGGGAAGACGTCGGTGGAGCTGAAGCAGCTCAAGAGGAAGCTGGGGGTCTACAAGAAGCTGCACAAACCCCGAATTCCTTCTCCTACGGATGCATCCAGTTCTTCGGCATCAATGACGCGCACAGTCGTCAAGGAAACTCCGGGCCCTGGAGAAGAGCCGTTCTCCAAGCAGCTTCGGCCAGCTGCCAGCTCAGGAGTAGATAGCAACACAAAGGTGTGTACGGAATATTGGGATGTACCCTATGACCCGGTCAATGAGACTATCTTTGGGTACTCCGAGCAACGCCTGCCCCTCGTGCTCGAGGTCATCTGCAAAGGATGATGCCTCCAAGCACTCGTGGACAGCGGAGCGTCACACACGGTCTGCAACAAGGCAGTAACCGACTGACTTCGGGAAGAGTACAAGCCATCAGGATTCTCTGCAACGATGGTGGACAGCAGCAAGTTACCAGTATACGGCGAAACAGTGCTACACCTACAAATCGGGCCACTGCGCTGGAGACCTGCTCTCCCCATCACCAACATAAAAGGGCTTGACCTGATCTTCGAGCGAGACTTCCTGAAAAGATTCAATCCCGAAATCAACTGGGTGAACCGCACCGCAAGCATCTACAACAATGGACGGAGAGTACAGCTACCTAACTGGGACGATACAGGAGATATCCCAGTGGAGACACTCGCCAGATTCGAAAAGGACGTGAAGCGAACCGACACCGGGTTCCTGGCGATAGCAACGGAGGTGGAGAATGACCAAGAGAAAGCCTCGGAACCTCCAGAAAAAATCAAGGACTTACTGAAGGAGTTCCAAGACATTCTTCCTGACGATCTTCCGAACGAGCTACCGCCATACCGAACGCATCAACACGAGATCGTGGAGGAACCGGGATCGAAGCCGACCTTCCGAGCACCATATCGGCTCAGCCCTACAGAGCTGATCGACATGAAAAAACAAATCGAGTATCTCTTAGCCAAAGGACTCATCCGACCATCCACTTCGCCGTACGGTGCCCCAGTACTCTTTACACCGAAACCGGACGGAAGCCTGCGCATGTGCATCGACTACCGAGCTCTTAACAAGCAGACCATCAAGAATAAATATCCGATACCGCGAATCGATGACCTGCTTGACCAGCTTCGGGGAGCTACGGTATTTTCCAAACTGGATCTGCGGTCCGGATACTGGCAGATACGGATGGCGGCTATCCACAAAACTGCTTTCCGAACTCGGTACGGATCGTACGAGTATTTGGTAATGCCGTTCGGACTCACCAACGCACCGGCAACGTTTCAAGCCGAAATGAACCACATTCTACGACCACTTTTGGACAAGTGCGTGGTGGTGTACTTGGACGACATCCTCATCTACTCTCGCGGCATGAAGCAGCACGTCGAGCACCTACAACGCGTCTTCGAAATTCTTCGACGAGAACGGTTCTACGTCAAACTGTCCAAGAGAGAATTCGCCCTTTAGAAGGTCCAGTTCCTAGGACACCTGATGAGCGCTCAAGGAGTTCACGTCGACCCCAAGAAAATCGAAGCCGTACGTACGTGGAAGACACCCGAGAACATGAAGGAGCTGTAACAGTTCCTAGGCTTCGCTAATTATTACAACAGGTTCGTGCCACAGTATGCGAAACTCGCAGCACCCCTCACGAATCTGCTGAAGAAGAACACGCCCTATAAATGGGAACCAAAGCACCAGGAAGCCGTGGAGCAGCTGAAACAAGCACTCACGTCCGCACCGGTACTCATCTTGCCAGATGCCGAACGCGACTACGTAATCGAAGCTGACGCCAGCGACCAGGCAGTGGGAGCAGTTTTAATGCAAGACCAGGGGAATGGACTGCAACCAATCGCCTACCTCAGCAAGAAACTACATGGAGCAGAACTAAACTACCCGATACACGACAAAGAGGCCCTTGCCATCGTCATCGCGTTCAAAACGTGGAGATGTTATCTCGAAGGACGAAGAACAACCGTCTACACTGACCACTGCAGCCTGAAATACTTGAAGACACAACCCAACCTTTCCAGGCGGCAGGTCCGGTGGATCGACCCTCGAGACACACTTCCACTACGACATCGTGTACAAGCCCGGCCACAAAAACAAAGCAGACGCTCTTAGCCGGCCTGCACACGTTGCCGCCATTCAGATTGAAGGGATGAATCCACTACTCAAAGGACTCTTCACACAGGGGTACGCCATCGACCCCGAAATTCCCTTGGCGGAAAAGCGACATTTGCTACAATGGGACAGTGACATCGCGTACCGGAAAGGATCAACGAAAATTTGGGTACCCAATTACCCTCCTTTGCGCCAGTTACTACTCGAAGAATACCACAACGTCCTACATGCCGGACACTTCGGTAGTAACAAGACGCTCACCGGTATCGCCAAACACTACTACTGGCCCCACATGGCAGATGACGGACAGAAATTCGTCACCTCGTGTCATACATGTCAGCGGATGAAGAGCAGCAAGCAGAAAAAGGCGGGACTACTGCAGCCTCTTCCTGTCCCAGAATAGCCATGGCAAGTGGTTAGCCTGGACTTCATCATCGGGTTACCACGTACCACCAGCAGTCATGACGCAATCCTTGTCGTTATCTACAAGTTCTCCAAAATGGGACACTTCATCCCGACACACACGACGGCACGCACCGAGGAGACAGCACAACTCTTCGTTCGTCACATCATCTCACAGCATGGCATTCCAACCACACTCATTTCCGACCGAGACCCTAAGTTCACCAGCAAGTTCTGGAAGGAACTTATGTTTCTTCTCGGAACCAAACTCGCCATGTCATCCGCATACCATCCGCAGACAGACGGACAGACCGAGCGCCTCAGCCAAATTGTTGAGCAACTCCTCCGCGCAGCCTGCAAGGACGACATGTTCAAGTGGGACTTGCATCTGCCCGTCCTGGAGTTTGCCTACAACAATGCCACACATGCCGCTACTGGACAAACGCCGTTCTTCCTCTGCTACGGACGCCACCCACTCACACCACAGAAACCGACCACATCCGCTACAATACAACCTGCACATGATTTCATCACAACCATGCATCAGCTTTGGGATCGGACCCACAAACGCGACATCGACATTCAGCAGCAACAGAAGCGCCAAGCCGATCGCCATCGTAACAACCACACCATCATGGTGGGAGACCAGGTGCTTCTTGACACACGCAACCTGGACATCAGCCACCTCCCATCTAAACTGCGACCTCGCTTCTGCGGGCCTTTTCTCGTTGAAGCACATGTCACTCCTGTTACCTTCCGCTTACGCCTGCCAGCTACCTGGAAGATTCACAACGCCTTCCACGTCCAACTTCTGAAGCCCTATCGGGATGCAAACACGATCTTCGTCGGACGCCAACCGCCGCCGCCACCACCCGTCCTCGTCCAGAATGAACCCGAGAACGAGGTCGAGTCCGTGCTTGCACACCGCCGACGTCGGAATGGCGCCGTGGAGCTTCTCATCCGTTGGAAGGGTTATGATCCTTCTGAGGACAGCTGAGTCCCTGAGTCCGACATGGGTAACGCCCGTCGTCCTCTGCATGACTGCCTTGTCAAGCAGGGTGTTACTTCTACCACCCAGCTTTGAGGGGGGGAAGTGTGAGAGTACGACCCTGTTACACCACTTGTCCCTATTCTTATTTCCTTCCTCTTTCATTTCTCTTTTTATCTCATCTCATTTGGTTTCCTATTCTCCATTTTCCATTAACCTTTGGTTTATCCTGCTATTATAGTTATATCACCGACCAGGCTTGGGATGTAATGGTGCGCTATCTGGCGTAATCCTGCCGTAATCTCTTAAAGCCAATAGCCTCGCGTGGCTATACGCAGGGTGATTCTATCTTCTAGAAGGGTCTATTCCCTTAGGATAAGATAAACCTGGTTACCTGATGTACTCTGGAAGTATAAAAGCGCCTTGTACTGATCGATAGTGGAACCTTTCCTCGACACATTCGATCCGGTGACAGCCTCTACCCGCCGCCTTGACTACGCCACCGCTCTGGTCTCTGACCCTGCCTGTCCTCCGTCTGTCGGGGGTGCTCCTGCCCTCGGCAGTGACGTCCTGGAGGACCGCCAGTACGAGCTTGCTTTCCTGTCCGAGGCTGCTCCCCATCTCTGCTCTATGATTCTAGTCCTTGAGGGTGACCCCGACGCTTTCGACATCTCGACCCCTCGCACTTACGCTGAGGCGGTCTCAGGACCCTGGGCCTCTCAGTGGATAGCTGCCATGGAGCAGGAGATGGCATCTTGGAGATCCACCGGCACCTACGTCGACGCGGTTCCCCCACCTGGGGTGAACGTAGTCGATGGCCGCTGGCTCTTTAGGTGATGCACCCTCCTGGAGAGCCGCCTGTGTTTAAGGCGCGCTACGTGGCTAGAGGTTTCAGTCAGTGTGAGGGGGTGGAATTCTTCCAGACCTTCGCTCCGACCCCGAAGATGACTACTCTTCGGGTGCTGCTACACGTAGCAGCTCAGTGTGACTACGAGCTTCACTCCCTCGACTTCTCCACTACGTTTGTTCAGGGAAGTCTACACGAGCAGGTCTACCTGCGCCGCCCTCAGGGCTTCACCGGTACCTTCCCTCCTGGGACCCAGTGGCTGCTGCGGCGCCCCGTCTACGGCCTGCGACAAGCTCCTCGTGAGTGGCACGACACGCTGCATGCTACGCTTGCTGACCTGCAGTTCTTTCCGTCCTCTGCAGACCCCTCGCTCTTCGTTCGTACTGGCCAGACCCCGTTCTATATCCTTGTTTACGAAGACGACCTGGTCTTCACCACAGCAAATAGGGACGCACTGGCCTTCGTGAAGGCAGAGCTGCTGAAGAGACACACTTGCACTGACCTTGGAGAACTGCGCCACTATCTTGGCTTGTAGATCTCCAGGGACAGAGCAGCGCGCACCATCACTTTGACTCAGTCACAGTTTGTGCGCGAGGTCCTTCAGAGGTTCGGCCTTCAGTTCTCCTTCGCACTGCCCACTCCTCTACCTCTAGACCACAGGCTCTGGGCTCCAATTCCTGAAGAGTCAGCAGAGCGCAGTGGTCCTTACGCAGAGCTGGTGGGTTGCCTCATGTACCTGATGACTTGCACTCGCCCAGATCTCGCATACCCTCTCAGCATCCTGGCTCGCTTTGTGGCTCCAGGCAAACACCGACCTCAGCACTGGTCTGCTGCTAAGAGGGTTTTGCGTTATCTTGCAAGTACATCGGGCATGGGGTTAGTGCTGGGAGGACGCAGGCCAGTGGTCCTTACTGGACACACAGACGCTTCTTAGGCAGACGACACCGAGACCCTCAGGTCCTCGCAGGGCTACTGCTTCAGCCTTGGTTCAGGTGCCGTCTCGTGGAGAGCTACCCGCTCCTCGTCTGTTGCCCAGTCCAGCTGTGAGGCCGAGATCTACGCCGGTGCCATGGCGGCACAGAAGCTCCGCTGGCTGACCTTCTTGCTCACTGACCTAGGTGAGCGGCCTAGCTCTGCCCCGGTCCTGTACGGTGACAACAGGGCCATGATCCTCCTGTGTCAGGAGCCTCGACTTGAGGGAAGAGCGAAGCACATCATGCTGCGGTACTTCCTCCTGCGTGAGCTCCAGCAGCGCCGCCAGGCGCGCATAGTACACTTGGCCTCCGGTGCCAACATCGCTGATATCTTTACGAAGGCGGTTGCGCCTAAAGATTATCAGCGGCACTGTGTACAGCTAGGTCTCGTTCCTGTAGCCTCTCACTTGCTAGGGCCTTGATCTTGTACTGTCCTTTATATATATATATATATATATATATATATATATATATATATATATATATATATTTTTTTTTTTTTTTTTTTTTACCCAGACTGGCCTTGTGGCCTCTCCCAGTGGCTGGACTAGTAGTACCGCCCTGGTCTTGCTCTTGCCTTGTCTGTATTCCGTCGACTGGTCTTTAGACCCTTGTCTCAGAGGCTGGACTAGTAGTGCCGCCCTGAGCTGCTTCTTCCCTTGTTAGGCACTGCCCCGATATAGTCTAGGGGGTGTGTCAAACATAGCTTATGCAGTTACTGTAGACTATATGTTTGTGCCTTAATGGGTACAACTCTCTAGACTATATTGCCTTGTATCTCACCACTCTAGTCATTCATTCATTCTGTTACAGCCTAGTGGCGCACGTGCATTCAAGATTCGAGAAATCAGGGTTATCCCCGAAGGCATACTGACAGCTCAGGGTTGGTACACGAACACTTTACTGAATCCTCAGGGTTGCATTATGACTATAAACTGAATTCACCTAAAAAAATGAGCTTAAACGGATTTTTCAGGTGTGGTTGGCACCTAACAGGCATCCTGAAAATCAGGAATTCATGATAAAACATCATGATATCTGAGGCCTTCTGTTGTAAGACCTTTGAAGGTCTCTATGACTCTCCGGGTGCTCTTCATCACAAGCTCATCCACAATCCACTGCTTTGGGGCACACAATCACATACACAGTCACTCACT